TGATCAAGGAGGATTTTAAATGAGTAAAGAAGCATGGGGCATAAAAGCAGTGACTTTTGAAATGTTGCAAAACTTGGTATAATTCGTAATTCTTTAGTATTAGTATAATTCATAATTTACAAATTATCAAGAAAAAATAACCTCTAAACTTCAGTTTATTTTTCGACTCAATTTTCTTTGCAGGGCCGAAAAAGTGATTATGAAAATTCAGGACAAATACTCTTGCGTTTCTTTGAATTGCGCAAGATTCATACGTTTATGGATTTCCTACGAGGGGGAACTCAACTTCATTGCTCCATTGCTATTGACTTTACAGGTTAGTACAGTGGTAATTCAGTAGTGTAGATTCTCTGTAGCAAACTTCTTTGTAATGAAAAAGTTTCAAAGAAATACAGTAAAACTCCACTTATGTATGTCAAAAATATAGTCGGATATTAAATTTATCCAGTCTTAAGTTGCCTTCCTAGAGCAACTCTTAAAATTTTTTAAGTCGTACTGCTGCAAGTGGCACGAGAGCTGACTTTGCGCCATCGTCTCAAGGGCTTGTGCAGTCTTGGTCCCTCAGCTACATTGAGTCAAGCTTCTATATTAGAAATTTCATTAATGAGAGTTCGACAGATCACTCCATGGGAGGGAGCATTCCGACTTGAGTAAAATTCTGAGAACTCTGCTTAGGTCGCCCTGCGCCACACCCATTGGCTCTGTGGAAACAATTGAATGTTATACGATCTTAAAGGGACTTTTATTATGATCGTATTTGAAACGCGTATAAATGTAAAACACCTTTCTAAAATGATTTAGCTTGGAAATTATTGGAATATTCGGGACTTGCCAAAAAAAACATATAAACGTGAAAAATGTATAAGTGCGAAACATATAGAGTTTCACTGTATTATATTTCTTTCTTATATGTATCTTTGTTTTATAGTAAACATTACCAGAATTGTCCTGCCTGTTCATGTATTTAGAAAATAAATAAATAAAACTCAATATAACAGATATTTCTGAAGTATTGTTTACTTTGTAATGCGTACGTTAATACTCTCTCGCTCAATAAGTAAAACTCTGACAGATGACAGTACTCCCTTGTGTTTTGTTATAATGGTGTACACATATTTTACATAGCTTTCTTGGGCTGTTTTTAAATGAAAACCCAATAAGATGTCTGAAATAACTACAATCCATCTTTGATCCACCACCTGTTAATATTGTAAACTAGATGAAAAATTGTCACATACTATTGTTAACAACTATAAGAAATCATGTTCAGATTCTGACCAGTAGGGCCGGAGCTAAGCAATTTTGGGCCCAGAGCAGTGCTGAAACATAGACTCTCCCTCTGCACCGCCGCAAAAATAGAAAATGTCGAAGTGGTTTCAAAAAATATGCGGTTATTTTATTTCAACACATCACAAAAAATTCAATGCTTAAGCTAAAAAGAAAATTTGGAAATATATTTTAAATAATATTTTTGTAAGTAAAAGTATTTAGTGATCAAGTAATACAATTTTCACAGTGAGCTTAAAATGCTAAAAAATTGTGTTTAGTTAGTGTTTAATCACTTGTAATACATGAAATAATAAATATGAATTTCAGTAGAATATTTTAATTTTTGCGTCATTGATTCATTATCATACAGTCTTAACTTAATGACCGTAATAAACCATTTAAGGTTAAAAATTAATTGCAAAAGTTATGTGAAATCAGATTACTGAACCATGAATTATAAAATTACGATAACGATTTTCTTGAGTTCTAATTTCTTTTTCAATTTCTTTGGCATCGGCACTGCTGATGAGATAATGATATATTAGAAATAATGATATTGTGGTTTCCATATGTTGCAGGTTCAAATGGTAATCCAACTCAACCAGAGTCACTTCATTTTATAAGTCCTGTGCAAAATAAATACGAACAGGCAATTTCAGCTGTGGGCAGCATAATTCAAGATTATGATAGTGACAAGATGTTTCCAGTCCTTGGTTTTGGAGCACGTCTTCCTCCAGATGGAAGAGTCTCGCATGAATTTTTTGTGAACATGGATTCTACCAACCCCTATGTTCAAGGAATAGAAGGTAGTATTATCATTATAAAAATATGAATATAGGGTCAAGTATCCTTAGTTTCCCCACACACACAAGCACATGCAATGCACACACTCACGCATGCACATACAAATAAATAATATGCTGAAATAAATGAAAATATTTGTTACTTAGATTATATTATTTATTCTTATAATAGATTTTATTTGACTTATTATTTTACAGATTTAATTGTGTGTTTTCAGGTGTATTGATGGCTTATCGAAATTGTTTGACACAAATACAATTGTACGGTCCAACAAATTTTGCACCAGTCATTAACCATGTGGCTCGTTTTGCACAAACTTATCGTGATGGCTCAAGTTATTTCATTTTATTGATTCTCACAGATGGTGTAATAACAGATATGCCTCAAACTATAGAGGTAAATTATTTATTTATTTATACACTTACAGGGCACAAACAAATGTTTGCATTTTTATTTTTGTGAATTACTTTTCAGCTATACAAGAAGTGCTGGATTTATTAAATTTTAGATTTTGAACACGCCCCAAATTTCAGTAAACTTCCCCAAACCCCCAATAAAATGTATTTTATTTTCTCGTATACATATGTATTATACCTAGCGCATAGACAGTTATTTTATGCTGCGGCAAAAAACAAAACAAAACAAAACAAAAACCTCCCCTGATTTTTCAGCAGAAGAACTTGTTCTGATAAAAAAAAGCAGATAAATACTGTTCCAATATGTAGTAAATTACTACATATGTATGTATCAAACTCGCAAAAGCCTCGAGTTCATTCAGATTAATTCTTGGAGAAATCGGCAGACAGTTTAAGTGCTCGTGTTAACCACAGATGGACACAGAGTATTACCATGCTGTCCTTTGGTGAATCTTTGAAAACAGAAAGTTGTTGGCCAAATCGGGACTGTAAGGCAGCTCGGAGAGCGTCGACAGAACACTGCAACAGTTCTTGATACACTTCTACTCGATTGTTCTTTTGGCAATCCATGAGCACTCTTGGGACAAAGTTTAGCACACATTCCACATTTGTATGTTTTCTGTTACAATCTTGTGCACATTGGTCTTGTGCAATGTCTAGTTTTTCAGACATTAGGCAAACACTTATTCTTTGACCAGAGTTTAACAATTGGCACACATTGTCAAGTGAACTTTTTATCTCACGATGTTGAGGGCTGACCTGATCATTGATTTGTTGGCTACCTTCTCACAACTCTCCCTAAACATTTTATGCCACCTTCTGCACTGTGAATATGACGTACAGTCCTCATCAAAAGCCTTCTGAAGTAACTCGTAAGTCCCTGATGGTGTCTTCTCAACTTTGAAACAAAACTTATTGTGTGTAATTTCTAGAGAGTTTTTCCATCTTAATTATGTCTGCGCACTCACATGAGGTTCACTAAAATAGGTACTGTGACGCTCCAGGAGCTTGGAGCGGAGCGCCAAGACTCTAACCAACACTTCTGTGCAAGTGACAACGTGCAACGCATAGTTGCGGAAGAGAAAAAGAGGGCTCATTACTTTCAGGACAGATTATGTATGCAGTGACAAAAACCATGAATAAGATGATTTAAAAAAAAACAAGAAAACAGAGACATCAGGAGATAATAAGTTTTGACATTCCCCTCAACAATACAAATACTCTAGTCAGTTAGACAATTTGCAATTTTATTCTTACTATATAATAAGAATTAATTTAAAATTGTTTAGGAGACCTCTTCAAAATTAGGGTGTGTCTGATATTCAACTTACAGTAAACTTTCTTCTGGTAAATGTGACTTAGTGTGTTTTCAATGAATGTTATTATGTTGGGGTGTGTATTAAATGCTACATTTAATGCACTACATGCAAGATTATTCAATGTAAAGGTGGTGGGTACATTGCTTGTACTAATCAAACAAAATTTACAGGCTATCATCGCGGCTTCTTCACTTCCAATGTCCATCATTATTGTTGGCATTGGCACTGCTGATTTTTCTGCAATGGAGACTTTAGATGCAGATACAGTTGCACTGCAGTCAGGTGGCCGACGTGCACAGAGGGACATTGTACAATTTGTGCCCTTCTCTAAATTTTTGAATCAAGGAGATGCTCGTACTGCTAGACTGCGACTAGCCCGGGAAGTGTTGGCCGAAGTTCCTACACAGTTCTTGGGATACATGCGCCACAATAACATTTCTCCCCGTCCTCCTACTGACCAAATGGTTGTCTTGCCTCCTGATCCTGAACAGGTGCGTCTGTCATGAGCTGTTATTGTTTCCAATCCTGAATTAATCTCATTGACTGTTATGTTTTTAAAGTTTTTGTCAAAAGTTTTCTTGCATTAAATAATGGTCCTTTAATGTGCTTGTAGATACCCATTTTAAATAATGAAAATCTCTTCAACGGCTTATGTATAAGGAACTACTTAATTATGTTACAAGAAATCATAATTCAAATTTTAAATCTTAAATTTATTTAACTTTATCGTCTTTAATTGAGCTCAAATTAACTCATTTATTTCAAATTTTTATGTTCATCATGTAATGTCTACTTAAGAGGAGATTATGATTATGAAAAACATGATATTGTCATCTTGCACTATTGATTTGCCAGAATATTATTTCTCGATTCTTAATTAATATATTTTAGAAGTGCATTAGTTATTTGAATAATTCTTTGGTTGAGCATCTTCACAAATTCAAAAATAATTTTCATTGCGGTGAAAGACTCCCTGTTACTCTCATGGCTTGCTGTTATTCAGCTTCTTTTGAGTTTTGTGTTTTATAGTTTCATTAGTTTTATGAAAAGAAGTACTTCTTGAAACTCCATCAGTGTGAGAGTTCTTTTCATTTTGTTGTGTGTGAACATGTCCTGATTAATAATAAGGCATTGAATTTATTTTTATAAGTGTTTTTTTTTTTTTTTTTTTTTTTTTTTTTTTTTTTTTTTTTTTTTTGAGGGATTTTCAAACTGAAATTTTTTGGTGCTACATAATTGCATTTATCGTAAATGTGGAAACAGTTTTGTAATAGAGATCATTTTACAATGGTAAATTTGTCAGGGAGTGTTCTTCTGATTTAATTTTACCTTCCTGTACATCTCATATGAAAATAACGTATTTACCCGAATATAAGAAGAGTCTTATCTTGGTCGAAAAATTTGTTGTCGTCATCTATTCGCAGATTAAGCTTGTTCAGTTAGGGTCTGAAATTTTACACATTGCTATTCTATGCCACGAAACTCATAAATGTAGACACAACAATAAACTAAGAATATTTTAAAAATATCTTGTGTATTTTTAATCCATAATTGTGCGTGCAGTCGTATTCTCAGCATCCCCTGTGAATTTGCCAGGTAATTAAAATTTATATTTTTGAATGGGCCAGTAAAGACAAAATCCTAAACAAATGGCATTGTATCAAATGAAACGTAACATGAAAGTTAATTCCGAGATTTTTTTACACGATGCGTGTTCGACAAGGCTGCGCAGAATCTAAGTTTGCCAAGGCAAACGTGAATCTGCATTTTGAACTTTTAAAGAAAGAGGCCATTAACAAGTATGGCAGACTGAAATTAATGTTCTTAGGTGGCATCTGATGAAAGACCAAGAGCAGTGCAAATTCAATGCGCAAAACTTTGAGAGACCTAAAAAGTCACAGCATAGGAGGAGGACCAAAAAGAAAGAAATATTGATACATGTGAAGATATTGTGGGTATTCACAGATTCCAGGATTACGATTTTAAGGAACAAGAAAATTATCAATCAGCAATAAGTTTTAACATTCTCATTAATACGTTTTCTAGTCGATAAGAAAATTTGTAATTTTATTTTGACTTAATGATAAGAATTAAAAATTCTCAGGAGGCCTCTCCAAAATTACGGGGTTGTCTTATATTCAGAGTCGACTTATATGCGGGTAATACATACAAATGTGTAAATAGTATTTTTTTGTAGTATTAATTTTTAAAATTGTAACTATGAAAGACAACATTCCACCTATTTCCATTTGTTTGACTGTAGTTGTATTAATTCTCTGATGGGACAATTTTCTCTGGGTCATGTAAAAGAACTTTACTTGCCAAATTTTTTATAACTTTTCAGATTTTAAACTTTAGGGAATTATTGGCCTAGGGAGTAAAGACAACTCATAGAGAGAGAGGGAGGGAGGGTGATTGCATTTTGATATGTATGGATGCAGTGTGCCTTAAATCAGAGCTGTACAGGCAAGTACCCAACTGCTCTTTGCTTCTAGCACGTGGATCACATAGGGATAAGAATATGAAAGGTAATGCAATCGCATGCCGCAATATGCAAAACCTGTGGACTGTAGTGTCCCCAAACTTAGAAAAAAATGGTAAAATATAAGTAAAAGGAATTTCATTAATTTTGTGGACCACATTCATTCTGTGATGAAACGATGGGGAAAACTATTTATTTTCTTAAAATGGGCATTAAATATGTTGGTAATGTTGCTATTGTATAAAGGAGAGAAAAATAACAATGTGATAGTCTCTATAACGTGTAAAATGAGAGTAATTGTTTTCCTTTCTTCTTCGGCAAATATTTGTCATAATCAGTGATGTGATTCTCTGCATACTGCTAACATAAATTAAATTTCTTAATGTAATAAAGTACTTTGGTGCATACTTGGAATGTGGTACACCCAGCACACAACTTAAAATCCTTTAAACAGATCTTAGACTGTGTCACTTTGGGAAAACTTTATGAAAACTTGGATTGATCCCATTTTAAAAGTAGATTTCAAAGAGCAGAAATACTGTATCCTGCTTTCTAGTCTCTCCTCCTCATGGGAGGGAGGAAGCATTGCTTTACATTCTCTCTTTCTGTAGATTTAACTTTCTTTTGTTTAATTCTTTCCTGAAAGTTATGTCAACCACGTTGATTTTAATCAGGATATTCATAAGAGCAGTTTTTACAGGTGATTTTGAAAGTTTTCATAATAGTTTTACAAATTATGTATCCAATGATCAGACTTTTGTAATAATTAATAATAGAATCCCCAACTTATTCCTTGGGTATATGGTATGTGATATCAGTCACCTTTTATATAAAACAAAAAAAGGTAATTCTTGTTTGCACCCACACTCAATTTTCTTCTTTAGAAGAATGATCATTGTAAATTTAAATGTGAGTATTGTTTAACTTGACATTTAACTTCGGATTGTGTATGTAGAATTGTAAATAATAAATTACAGTTAAATACAAATAATTTTTTATGACAAATCTGTAAAAAAATGGTGAATGTTACAGCCAACAGCATTGTTTTAACCAGTGGCATGTGGTACGGAATTCTATTGGTGGTGCCAGTTAGTGAAGTGACATCGATGTTCAAAATTATAATATTGATGGTAATAAAACATCAATAAAGAACGATGTTTTTAAACATAATTGTGATGTTTCAAAACTAGTTTAGTAATTTCTAAAGTAGAATTTGTGAACAACAAAATTTAATTTTATAGTGATCATATTTATTAATTAATAATGAAGATTAAACTGAATACAAACTAAAATATAATAAGAATAAATAAAAATAATCTGCATGAAATTTTGAGTACCTACAGTAATCTCAACAGATTCCTGAGTTTGCTGAAGAAAGGTACGGGAAGAAGATGAGAGGTCTTACGCCCATGGCATACGCTGCCTCTCCATTTGCAAAACACACAAAAGATGTATGAAATACCAGGGCATCGACGTCATCCAGAGTGAGATAGTTTGTTGAAGATAGTGCCATTAGCGCATTCTATCGAACAGAACATGAACCAGTGTCTCTTTGAATCTGGCAGTCTCACTAATAAGAGATGCCTATAAACCTACAGTGTTTTTCATACAGCATTAAATAGGCATAGACGGCACCGATCAGTACGTGGCTCAGAGGTTCAGGAGGAGGCTGACAGATAGCATCAAGCCCTTACGTTTGAAGAAAGTATTGATTGAAGGACTAAGTTCAAATGTATTATTAAAAAGAAAAAAATGAAGAAACAGTATTTTATACACATCTGTGGTGAAAATTTACTTTTCCTTCCTCTTTTGTTGGTGGTTCCCATTTCTCACTGGCATTACCATCGCCACTGGTTTCAACATTGTTCAAGCTATTGTTGTCATTATTATTATAAGTTTGACAAACTCTTATTGACAGCATTATTGTATTAAAGATCATTTTATGCGACTTGGTGTGATTTGGTAATGATCACAGACATTCATTTCTTCTGAAATTTTCAGTGTATTTCTTTCAATAAAGTTTCTCTTGTGCTTCCATTTTTGAAACATAAAATCTAACATCTTTTTGATCTTGCTTTGATTATCTTGTTTAACTAAAATGGTATTTTTCTTAAAAGATATAACTTAAGTGTTTGTATTTATTGCACTAGGTATTTTCTAAATACCATCCACTTTCTATTGAATTATATATTTATGATGAAAAATTCTCAGGATAATGGATCATGTTTCCACTGTTTGTGCAGTTGTAATCAAGCAATGAACATGCTGTTTTGCTGTGCACATAAAGTGATGCTTCTCACTGTGATTGGTAACCTTCATCCTGGTAGAGACTGCTCGTACCAATCTACAGTTGTTTGCATCTTGCTGTCAGGTTCGTGGTATTGTGTTATTATTACAAAACCACTTTCCCTTCTGGCCACTACCGTGTGTCTCGATTTTGATTATAAAAACACCTTTAAATTCTTCTTCAAATTTTATACCTCGTTTAATGAGAACTTGATTAGACAGGTTCCAAAGGTATTGGTAGGTTTCATATGTTCACATTCCCAAGATGTCATTGTTGCTATTGCATGTGTGCCTGTTGTGTTTTTGTATTCTTAAAGAATATAATTTTTAATGAGTTTCATGTTCAGCCTTAAGACTTTGATGTTTATTTCACATAAAATATTCACTTGACTGTTGGAAAGGGAGCACTATGGAAACACTATTTGTAAGTACAGGATTGATGAATTTGTGTTCAGCTTTTGTGAACTTGTCCATCATTATTTCTCATAGGGCTGTTGTAAGAGTAACTAAGTAGGTGTTAGAAATTGTTTTAAAATTACAATCTAGAATTTCCTGAATTCTCCTTCACACTATATTTTTAATACAAGTTTATTATATATTTGTTTGTGTTCATGTAATTTTTGAATGTATACACACGTTTCAATTTCTTATCATAACATTGAAGTGCCAATTTATTTTCATGCAAATTGATATCTAGCAGTTGAAGTAATTTAAATTTTATGTTTCTGTGCTCTGACAATAAGAAACATTTTTCTCTGTCGTTTCTGTTATGCACCAATTTTGCCCTTGAAATAGTAAGTGGAAATTACAAAACATTTCAAAGAGTTGTGAATTAGAAATGAGGTGAATAATTTTTGTAGTAGGTTTATTTTTTGTTGTATCGTAACAATCAATGTAAATGCTCTATAAATATGAAAGGGAAGGATAATTGTAACCAGTAGATGTGAATGCATGAATAAAAAACAAAAACAGAATGATGAATTTGCAATTTTCTGTACCATGGGAGTTGGCAAATGACCGAAACGTTTAATTATTACATGATGTTCTTCAGCATTAGGGAGCAGATTTTTATCTTTTTAAATGCACAACTTGATAACTTAATTGATCAACTCCTACTGTTTCAAGACCTTCTGAGTCAAATGAGATTCAAAGTTTAAGCGTATATATTACCCATCTCTAATTTTTTTACATTATTTGTTATACTTTTATGTGGGAATGTACGTTTCAGAGATAAGCTTTAAAAGTTACAATATATCCTCTTGTTACTGTAATATGCCTCACACACCTATGATGTGTCCAGAGGACAGAGAGGTGTGTAAGAACTCTTTCAGAGGATTTGTCACTCATTTTGAAGTACTCCAAATGCACTGTGTGGCTGAGTTGCAAGTTTCTGGCCTCTGCCTCTAGAAAGCAGGTGAATGACTGCCTTCAAACTAACTTACACCAACTTAAACTTATAATTTTGCAGAATTTCCCCTTTTGAAACTCGATGTTCTTCAAATTGCACATATTAATTCTTTGAGATGCTAGTCACTTAAACAATAATTTTTAAAAACATTTTCAGTTGCTAGTTTTCTCACAATTTTAAACTTTTTGATCAGCTCTGTCTAGTCACCATAAGAGCCCATGTTAAAAGGACAAACTTTGCAGTCTTATTTCTTGAAAACTAGCCAGTGAAATAATATCAAACTTTACAAGAACATAGAAGAATGTCTCACGTTTGATAAATGTTATAAAAAGAATATGTTAATTATAACATGTATCTCTAACTACCTTGAATGTATTTTTATTTACATATTTTCTGTTTTTAAATTATTTTAAAAAAAATACGTTTTTGTGAATATATTTCAACTTATTATGTAATATCTGCTCCCTATTCATCGTTATTCCTATCTTTGGTTTTCTATATGACAGTTACATGCAGTTATCCAATGTGTATGTTAATTAAGATAGTAATGGTTTCTGTTTCTTAGAAATTATCTCCATGGGGACTTAACATTTAATTAAGGAAGAATTCATCAAAGTGCCATGATATCACTAGTGTTTGTTGAATAGTGTTTTAGAACTCGGATACATTACTGCTTATTAAGTAGAATAACTGAATTTTCTTGTTCTTTGAAATGTTTTGGTACTTCAATTCTGATTGCATGTCTCTGCAGTTCAGTCACTTGTTTACATAATTTTGGAAGCTTATTTTACTTTATGTGAATAATGTTTTTTCCTATTTGCATAACATTTGATGAATGTATGTATCTCTATACTATGTTTGATCGTATAGGTAATGCAATTATTTTCTTCACTGGGGATGAATGAACAACAAAACCCCATTAATATGGCTAGTTATTTAGGCAACTAATTAAATTAATATTTTAAAAAATATTTGAAATTTAATTTTTCAGCTTATCAGTCAATTAAACAGCTTTCTTAAATTGACATTGTATTAAGTTCTTGAGTGCCAAATTTTTGAAATTTTCATTCTTGCAGTATATAAGGAAAGATAGTGCAAATCTCTGCAATTGAAGAATAATAGATTGCTACAGGTTTTAATATAACCTATAAGATTATATTATTTTTGTAACAAATATTTAATAGTGCAAGATATTTGCGTACATTGAAATTGTCAGTATGTACAAAAGAAGACAATCATGTGCTAGTTCTTGATCATAGTTTTGAAAATATTATTTTCCTTGGTATAAACTCGTAATTAGACATTGCATTTTTAGGCATTAATAGCTCTTCTTTTAGTCCCCTAAAATAGCCTCATAGAAGATAAAAATAAGCTGTTTTTTGTTTTCTTTTGAAGGCAGAATAAATGCTTATGAAAATACTTTTTCACACAGATTCTTTTTTACTTAGTTTGAATAACACGATGAATTTTGAGCAGTAAAACAGTTATTTAATGAAAAAGGTAATGAAAAAGTGGGCAAATTCAGTACTAAAATATTGTCCTATCTCATGGTGTAGCCAGAATCCATGTTTTGTGGGTCCTTCATACTGAAAAATTGAACAATGGCAAAACGTTTGTCAGTCTGTGAACAGTTCTAGTGGCGAAATTGTTTAGCTGATTTTCTCCAAAATTGTATTCTTCAATCAGGCTGATGCCGCAGCACCTTCAATTTGAAACCAACATTTTAAGTTTGGGAAGTACTTTTCATCAAGTCCCAGGGACATTTTCAAAAATATGGCTCTATCGTTTTCAATTAATTTGTGTTGTTGGATAGTGTAAAAGAAGTTTAAGAGAATAGTACAAGTATTGTGTTCGTTAAACACCCTTATTTTTCAAAAATTGGAGAAGTTTTTGTAGGAGTCTTCCTACAACTAAAATATTAAAGATAGAGATTTTTCCTTTAATGAAATCTGTTCCTTCATGATAGATTTTGATATAAGGTCACGCACAATTTTTCGAAAGTTTGAGTACTTTTCATGTAATTTTACGTGAAAGTACGGGCGAGAAAGTATGTGCTGTTTAGTTTTTATTCTTAAATCTTTTTGTATGCAGAAAATGATCTTTTTAATTCAATACTATCGTGACTTGTGCATATTTTAATATCACAGCTTAAGTCTAGATTTCTATCCAGGAACTTTTTAGTCAATATCAAAGACGAATTTATGCTTTAACAGGACAAACCAGCCCTAATGATGAAGTAGCAATTTTTAGTCACTATTAAATATGGTTCCTTGATATTGTAATACGAAACGTGTACATACTTAATTTCTGGTCTGTGCATTAGTAGAGTAAAATAGGTATTTGCATACAAACTAAAACTATTTGTAAGTTTCACATACCTGATATAGAATGAATAAATGCATTCACTAAAAACATTGGCTTACAATGAACTTGAATAGTTTCAAAATTGGAAGTATTAGTCATTGCATGGTTTAAAAAAAATTGTTATTTTCAACTTTCAATATTACTAACTTCTTTTTAATTTGTCTGTTCCTTTAATTAGTCTGTTTGGTGTGGCAAGTTCAAGTGTGCATGAAGCCTGAAACGCTGCCTCTCTCATTAACAGAGTATGAATGTAACTAAGAAATTTATACCAAACTTGAATGCTTTCAAAAGACTGCCACCCGATACTTCGCTCTTACAGTGAATATTTTTCCGAGTTCATAAAAAGAGCCTGAAAGATTTGAAAAATGCATTTTTATTATTAAGACTTAACAGTAAAAAACACTTCATTGGAGTTGTTTTAGAATATTTTTATTTTGCCTACTTTTAGCATTTTGTCTTATTTTGATATTTTTCTGCATTTCCCATCATTATATTAATTATCCCCTTTATACTAATCTCAAACAAAAAGGAAAACTATCTGCAAGCTTAGAAAAACACAAGGGCATTCTTGCATTTTGATTTCCTCTGTAAGCGAATGGAACAGGCAGGAAGGATTGAACTTGGACTTCAGGACTAGGTGTTCAAAATCACTAGAAGAAAGTAAGTGAACACTGTCAGGATCCTTGGATTTCTTTTACTGATGCTTATGGGCTTTCTTCGAACTTAATGGAATCCCATTCTTTGAGTATGGCCCCCAACCTCTTAAGAACAGAGCTCTCTGTATGTGTTTCACACTAAATCTTGAGTCAGTGCTGGCAATTACAAAAGTTTGAAAAATAAAACCAGCAGTAGTGTTTTCATTCATGATTGAAGGGGGAGGGAAAAAAAAAAGTGACAGGATCAGACCATGTTTTTTAATGTTTTTGGGGTTGCTGAAACTGAATCTGAAGTCTGTTTAACTTCACACCAGATTTTTCACTTGACCTCAAAATTTAAAAGAAGAAGGAGAGAGAAAAAAAAAAGGCTTGGAGGGTAGTGATCTGCCGCCAACAATGTAGGCAATCTGCCATACAACAATGTTATGAGTGTTGCTTTGTCAGGGGCCAATACCACTTTTTCTATAAATTATAATTGATCTGAATTTAAAAAATCTGATGCGATGAATTTAAATAGACTTGAGATTCAGTTTCAGCGATCCAAAAACATATAGGTAACATGGTTTGACTCCTTGGTCAGAAATAGCATCCATTTTTTATATTTTTTGAGGTTATGCCAAAAACCTGAAGTGATGAAGTCATGTGGACAGCGGATTCAGATTTAACGGCCCCAAAAACTTATAGAAAACATGATCACAATTTGCGAGTGTGTGTGACTATAATTTTTAGTAGTGAAAAGTATTATTTCTGATTCAAGTTTGAGTTTGCAAAAAGATGTTATGAAATGTCCAGTTATTATGTGCAGAAAGTATTTCAAGGAAGATAACGTTTCCGTGAAAGTGCTTCTGTAAATTTGAAACTATTTATTACTACACATTATTGTCATATTTTACATTGTTATTTGTACTCCTATTTTGCCAGATTTACCTTTTTGCCTGCGTTATCTTTTGAAGGCAAAGAAGAGGCTTGAACTCCCAGACTTTATTTATGAATCTCATTGATTAGATAGTTCATCTGATTTGATACGTTTGCCAATAATGTCTATAAAATGAAGTGAACTGTTCTTTGACTTCATAACTTTATTAATTTTTGATTTGAACTTTTAACAAATGTTGAATGCATGTTCTAAGAGTAATTATACATATAAACTTTGGACGTGGACTGTTTTTCTCTCCCGTCTTTCCGAAATGTGTAATATAATGTCTTTATCGTAAGAGTATTACCATGAAATATATCCATCACTAATTCAATTTTTCATGCTTATATTTGAAACCTGTTATTGATGGTTTTCATATTTACTCAGAGTTAGCTTTTATAATCTGAATTATACACAACCTTATGAATGAATAAGTATTTAAAGTGTCGAGTGTCTTCATATGTGGACTAAAAATTTTCTTTCTTAAAACATATTGGTATCTTTAGCTATACAATGTATATTACTAGATCGATAAAACTTTTTGAGCTTGGAGAAGTTGTTTGAAATATTTGATGTTTGACTAGTGGATATGAACTGTATTGAAATTTCTGAATAGTAGCATGTGAATAAATTTTGTTATGTCATCATGCATGTTGGAATTGATTCTGCTTAATTAAAATTTACAATTGATGCATTAACTCATTATTGTACTTGCTTGCTGTTAAATGTGCCTTCTATTTGTTGGAAGAAAATTACTTCATAATGAAAGTATATATTCTTTATATATGTATATGTAAAGTGAAACCTAATCTGACAGTTGGTAATGATAATAATTCAGAGTTGTCTGAAAATATTGCTGGTACTTTTTATGTACATGAAACAATATTGCAATATTTTGGATGGCTTCTATACCTTCTGGGTATTGTGTCCCAAGGACAACATGGAATGTTTTTTCATTTCATACTTCCTAGGCCAGTCACAGTGCTAGTGGTGCATAGCATTTTCTTTGATTGTGAATACTTTATGAATCACAGTAAGGGTAAGTTTGCTTGAAATATAATTATATTTATATACTACACATAAATGTATTAAGATACATTAAAAAGGCCAATCATTGAACTGATGACTATCACAGAGTTGAGATTTATTACTATGTATGAAGTGTATATTTTCCTGTTGTTATGAAGTATTTGAAATTGAAGAATTTTGTCACATTGTAACCTGTTCTAAAATATTAAATTCTTAAAAAAATGCTTAATTTAATAACTGAAGTTGAAATGGCTTCACTGAATCGTTATGGAATGAGCTTACACATGATTATTTCATGAACAACATTAGTATGCTTTGTTCTGCATAATTTTTAAGGTCCAAATTATTACTTTGGACTTGAGGATGGTCACCAGACTACATAATTGAAACTTACCTAAATTTTTTTTTCTTGTCTTTCTAAGTATGTTGCCAACAATAGATGTTGCATTAGTATCCCAACCTGTTTTTGGTCATGGAAAGTATAGAATGTGTAGTTTAGGTTATTGTGTCTATCGATAAGTCAGTCAATTGAAATGGCCAAAAGGTAGCTTTGTGCTGTGTTATCATATGCAGATGTTATTTGCTCTTGTTCCAAACTTTTGTTAAATATTGATGTAAATGAAGTGAATGTGTTCCTGGATGTATATGTATATAATTTGAATATAAAAGAAAAAATTTGCAAGTTTTTCTTGAATGAATACCTTGTAACAAAAATACATCTTGTTATTTTCTTCCAGTCCTGACTTGCTCATCTGAAGGTCTTTGAGGAGCAGCTTTTTAATTCAAGATGTTTGACATTTGTTAAAAAAAATTAACTAGTGAGAAGGATACATAAAGCAAAAGCATTATTCTACAGTTATGCTGCAAGAGAAACTCAAAAAGACTTTTGAGGATTAGAATATGAACTTGAACATTTCATAAACAAATGTGCCTCTAATAAAGCAGTAAAATGCTGATGTCGACACAATATCCTCTTGTATCATGCCCAAGTACATATAAATCTTTTCAAGTGAGAGTTTTTTTTGTTTTCTTTGCTTCCTAGTAATTTTTAAATTGATGTGTTTATTTCCTTTAAATACTCTTTGGGGATGTTTAGCTAGTTGTATTCAACTTTGTTTTGAAGAGTGGGAAAGGAGAAAAAATAAACTAATTTAGTTTCTATATACAGTATACATATATTTCAGTACAATTAAACTATAAGATACTTGGAAACAAAACGTACATGGTGCAGTATAACTTTTATGCTAGAATGATTGCTACCTGAATGTGAATTAACTATTTTCAACTTCTCCAATCTGCACATGTAAATTATAATAGAAACCTCTAATTTTCAGTGAACAGTGTAACGGGAATGATAGCCCAACGATCTTAAATTGCTTTTGAAATCACACTGGAATTTAAATCATATGAAATATGATACATGGTAGGAATTGGAAGTTTCACAATCCAAACTTTTTGTATATAATGTTTGTCACAATATCTTTAAGTCCTACAGACATGAACTCATTTGTTGAAAATTATATTTGCTACATATGCTCATGAAGTAAATGAAAATCGTTGGTGTTATAAGGTTATTAAGGTACTCTTCTACCAGAGTTTTAAATTTTTTATTTGTGGCGTACAATATATCTCAATTTAATTGTGATTGCTAATACCTAATCCAATAAGTAAAGTCAAAAATATTTTCTTAAAAAAATTATTTTATTTGTTTTTCCCATGAAACAGCACATGAATGGGTTAACATTTTTTAATGATTTATTTTTAAGATTGTTACTTGAATTAAACTTGCCTGAACATAAATTTGAAGATTCATAAGGGACTTATATGTACTTCGTAAAAATTTAAATTACAACTTTTAAAAATCCCTGGTAACAATGACAATTCAGAGTAATTTATTATTGCTAATTTAATTTCTGCAACCATTTCATGTTTAGATATAAGAATTGACAATCCGCTATTAAATAAAAAATGAATCATAAAGATATCTTTAAAATCAGAAGAGTTGATATATCAAGTCGGGTCAAACAAGAGAAAAAGTAACTTGAAGGAAAAGCCAGATTTAGATTTTATTACCTCTAAAGTGACTGAACACTAGTTCCCTAACCAGAAGAAAGAATTTGTCCAAAAGGATGTTCTGATGTAACAACATAAGGCCCTTAATTAATTTTACTTTCTCATAAAATAGTCTTAACTTTTTTTTCATTTTTTGCGATCATGGACACTTGAATTGCAAATGGCCATGGGATGTGGTTAATAAATAAAAATTTAACAATCTTAGAAACATGTTTAAGGGTAGAAGGTACTGTAAGTCAAATGAATAAAAAGATAGTGACGAAATATGTCCTAGTGGAAAAGTATTCTTATGGCTACACATACAAAAAAGAATATGAAAGTAACTTCGCAATAAAAGTTGAGCACGGTCATGGCAGGTGAATTGTATAAAAATGACATAATGGGAAAGAAAATGGTGACACTTCTTTTTCGTTTCTTCTAACTAGAAAACCTCCAATAGTGAAAAATCTTAATTGAAAAGAATATAAGTAAATGTGCACAAAAATAGAGGTAGAAGTAGTCACTTGAAAACATGTTCCAAAGAAAGAAAAAGTAGAGAGAATAGACAGGATTGCAAAATCCCACCTGGGACAGCATTTTAATGTACATGTAGGGCAGGGACAAATCCAGCTGATCGTTTTGGAAGTGGCCATCATTGGTTTTCGTTAAATAATAAATATTATTAATTATATTGTATATAATTTTTGTAGTGTATACACAATACTATACAGTAGCATACAGTAGCATTGGGAGGAGGGGGCATTGCCCCCTCCTCCCAATGTTTCTCTATTGTTGTCTTGAATAATACGGGTTTTAACAGGTTTGAACCCAGTGAATACCACTTCGTCTACCTCTTCAATTCCCAAGAACACTTACATTTATAGGAATACTTCAAATCTCGGTTAGAAATTTAAAGGCATATCATTGAACAATTCAATATTAAATTAAGAGGGATGGGTCAAACCTGTTTGCAGATTATAGGAATTTTAGAAAATGTGAATGTTGATTCAATAAAATGGGTTTCCAGTTCTTATTCAATTAACCCAAGAATGATTGGAGAATGTCTATTAACTGGTTGATTTTTCTCTCGCTGCATTGTTGGTAACAGTAGTGTAATGAAATAAGTGCGGGCTCACCTGCAAAGCTTTTATCCAGGCCCCCTTAATAAAAGTGTATAGCAAACACAAGTACTGTTAGTACTGTAAATAATTAAAAATCTCTTAGAAAGAGGCACTCTTACCTGGGCCCGCCCGCATTGTGGGCCCACACGTTATGCCACAGGCTTGTATTATTCAGGTTATGTCTTGTACTCTCAGCAATTTCCTATTAAAATTCATGACTATTTCACCAGTAGTCAATTACACAAGTAATAAAGATACAGAAAATATTCACATTCAGATCATATTTTTCAATGAAATTGGCACAAGTTGCAAAGTTCACTACCATTGTATTATTAACCTCAAATCTATCTTAGTGAGATAATGAATTAAAACTATTTTCTCCAAGAGAACTACAGAAAAATTTATTTTGGAGGGAAAATAATGCTAACTCACGTATTTTAAGTTTTGACAGTTGCAGGGGAAAACCCCGTTTTTGAAATTTCAGACAAGCCTTAGTTACTGCTACTTTCTACATATACTATAGTTTTATGAATATGTTTACAGTTCTTTGGTCAAGATTTGGTTCTTTGATGTCAAGATCTTTACTCTGGACTAGCTGAAGAAATCTGTGTTGTCCAGATAATCATAATGGGAGAGATCATCTGTATAGTATCCTGCCCACCAATCACTGATCTGCTCACCTTCTTCCGAGTTTCCTTCCCCATAATGCTTTATCTTGCTTGCCCTGACGTGTTTGCTATGATTATTGGTGCTATGGGCGAAGGCATTTATACTCCTGACAAACTTCCAGTAACAATTTTACTCTTAAATCAAAATTATTTTGTAGGAAGTTTTATGGTCTTTAAAAAGTTGGTAATTTACTCACTGTTTACAAAATAAGGGATAGAGGTAACTTCTACTAAATCTCACTAAGACTCAATTTTTCTTATTTTCAAAGTCAGGTGTACAAAATTTCATTAAGATCAGAAAAAAAGCTAGATTTTTATGAAAAACAATAAGTTACTTTTAACATAAGACTTTTTTTTAAAGTTCAGTTAGCCTGACAAAACTGAACATTTCACAAAACTCATCACAATGCATTCAGCCATTCCAGAGAATACTCTGAACAAAAACTATAAAAACAATTGATATGAATGTTATATCCAAATACACCTACAAGTACAAAAAAAGGCAGTTATTTTAAATTCACAGACACTCCATTTTATTTATGTAAATTTACAAAATGAGGGTTAGAACTATCTTCTCCCTGAACTGTTTTATTATATTCTCTCTCATCTTTCCTGGTTTGATTGGTTTTGTATGACGAGTTCTTAAATTTTTAATTAATTGACGAAGCATGAATAGCATGAATCATTCTAGGTTGAAGTGTGTCTTTGGATGAGAGCCCGTGCTTCACTTGTTATGTTGCTCGCTTCCTCAAAGCAGCGGTCGTGCCCTGAGAAAACCTGCGACACGACAAGCAAAAAGTCTGCCTCTGAGCGAACAACAAGGCATCACCCGGACAGCCAAGTCAATAACTCTTAAGCTTACATGTACATTGTAGATTAAACATGTGCCTTAACACTCTTCCTAGTAGCAGTTTATTTCTTTTTTGCTAAAAGTTGCCAAAAAAATGTAAGTTTTACAGACTAGCAGAGTTGTTTCACTTGTGCAGTTTTAGTTCATCAGTGAGGCTCCAGTCTTCAGAACTCGCTTAAAACATTTACCAATTTTGTCCACTGCATCTTTATGCCAGAAAACAGGAATGTTACTGACCTCTCCACACGTACATACTACCCTCAAGTAGAGAGGCCAAGCATAAGTGAATTTCAGCCATATTTTTACTTGCAACATTCTGATGCTCAACAATTTGTGGGTTTACAATTAATTAATGATCATTATGAAGGAATGAAAATATCAGTAAAAACTCTTAATTAACAATAGTATCAAATAGTACTTTAATTTCACAAAGTTATACATTATGATGCAAGTTTCACAATATCTTTTTTCACTTTCACTTTTGACATTTTCAAAATTTTTTTATTGAACTTGGCAATAACCTTTTCCACAGACTCCACATGAACACCTGAATTAATATATTCATTTACTATTTTCTTTTCCACCCTTTTAAGAGGCAACTCTCCTTTGGATTCAAGTAATTTAACCACAGTGTCTTCCCAATTAAATTTTCCAGGTTTAGTATCCACAGCTTCTTCCAGTTCTGCTTCTTCATTTTTAATCACCTCAATTTCTTGTTCTGTTTTAGGTTTCTTCTTGCTCGCAATTTTAATGGTTGTATCTTCTACGTCTTTGGTGACACCATTTTCTAGATGTTTCTCCTTTTTCTTCTTCTTTTTACTCTTTTGAGAGGTTTCTTCATTGTTATCCTGTCCTTCAACATCAACATGTAATGGTTCATTCTGGATTTCTAATAGTTGCTTCTCATACTTTTCTTTCTTGCGCTTTTCCTTCTTATCCTTTTTACTCAAAAGATTCAAAGACTCATTTTCTTTGACATCCCCTAAAATAACGTCTTCATCTTCTATTATATCATTAACACTGCCTTCTATTACATTATTACAGTTTTCCTGTTCTATTACATGATCACTATTTGCGAAACTTGATTTGTTTTTTTTCTTCTGCTTCTTGGATTCTGCTTCCACATTTGCAATACCAACCTCTACATCATTTCCGAGTTCTGCAGAATTATCTTGCATGTCGTGCTTCTTTTTCTTCTTTCTTGAATTTTCAGGCTTGGTTTTATTTGCATCTGTAATACCATTTTCTGAAAATTCGGTACAAGACTCATTTCTAGAATCTGTTCTTTTCCGCTTTCTGTCTTCATTTTCTCGCAGTTTTTGGAATTCACTTTTCTTCTTTTCAAGGAATGACCAAGTTTCACTCACAGCATTCGTGTTTATCCAAGATCCGAATTTACTTTTACAAAAATTTACGAACTTATTATATTTCTGGGGAACACCAGGATCATTTGCTATTCGTTTTAAAATATTTTTCACGGCACCATTCAAACATGCGTCACTTTCCAGGGTTTTTTGGATGAAACTAACCCATTCCTCTTGTTTCCTTTTCCCTTTTTCTACCGGTGGCTTCGCCACGAATCCTTTGGCAGAATATCTTTCTGCTTCAGTAACGCACGAGGTATGCGCAACATGTTCATTGCCATTGAAATCTTTCAAACAATCCACACAAGTCAAGGCGGGGGTAGAAAAACGACATGATGAAAATGAATAATGTTTCTCAACTTGATTTTTCTTCACAGATGCTCCGCAATAGGAACACGTAAACACGACCATATTCTATGTTACACGTGCGTGGTCTACGTGATAAAATCAACAGACTACGTATATCAGGTGTAATATTATTTCCTACTAGTTACAAAATTACTCAATTACGGTCTCAGAATTTTCCCAGTTTAGATTTGGACCTATCATACATATTAACTTGAGAGGCGTGTAATAAATGTTGGCGCTTGCACTTGCATCCAGTTTTCAGTGGCACCACACAATCGCACAAAAACGAGTAATTCGCTTCTAATTGAACACACGATCCACATCTAATAAGAAAGAAAAAATGTTATTCAAAGGTGGTGTGTTTGGGCCGGCATACAAGTAAACACACGTGCAACCAGTGGGCGACACTGTAGCACCATGAACCACCATGAACTGACCAATAATCCAAGCCTTATCTGAGCACTCACCAGAATTTCCAAGAATTTCATCGAACCAGGAGGATATACTCACCGAGCCCCCAAGTTCTTAGTTTGTGTATGATATACTCTTTGGACTATCAGAGAAAAGCATTAGGGAGTTTATGCCAGGCGTCAGCAATATCGATCTTCTGCGCATGCGCAGATGCACTAAAATGGTACAAAACTTAAACTGCGCATGAGCACGAGATCGATAGTGCTTTAACATTCGAGGTGGCACAAACTCCCTACTTCGATTGAAATAAACTCCGTTGACGTAAATCAGGTTTTTTCGTTTTATCCAATCGGAAGCTTGAATGACTCCTACAGCAGTGACGTTAAAGCTCCAGATTGGATGATATCGTCATTGCTGGTTAAATGGCAAAGTGTCTAAATCGAAGTGTAAGTGGGCCACAGAGTATAGAAACGATCAGAACACGTGACGGTGGACCGGAGGGCAGCACCAGAGAGTATATTACTTTCGGTGGCAAGCGTCGGACTGCTACAAGCCGCGAGCTCATATAAATTATAAAACAACACGTGTCGATTTGCTTTTAAAACGTCGTGATCATTCTTCTTTAGAGGGTGTCATCAGCCTATAATGGTTTAAAAACGTTTTTGTTTTGTTTTAGTACCCTTTCTCGCAGTAAGATGCTCTTTTTTCTTTAAAATAAAGTTGTAGTGAACTGGGGCAAAATGGGCCACGAGAGACAGAGTAAGCTTTATTAGATGCTCTCCTGTTTCCAAAAATCAGGAGTGTAAAATTATAGCACCCTTGGTACAAAAAGTACAAAAGTAGATTTCTGCTTTGAAGCAAGGGCAGTTGGTTATTTCAAATACAGGTTCCGCCCATCTTCATAATTCGCAATTCACACGTCTCAACATTTTTTTGTCATTCTCAGATGAAAACATATGTAAATTTTCCACATTTTTCAATAGCATATACCATTTACCAAAGGGTATAGCTCTCAATAAATAAGATGTCAGGTTACCTACATTGCCTGAACGTATTGTAGAAGCAGAACATAATATATATGAGCCACTAAACTTTTGTGAATCTTCATGATTTTATTTTAGTAAAAACTAAGCCACCTTCTTCAAGAATTTACGAGTATTTGTGTAAAAGCTAAACCCAAATATTATGTACGTCACTAAATCAACTGTTTTCTTCTGTCATTAGATCATGCCTATCTAGTCGTGTCCCAATTGTGCAGCAAGAAATGGCATAAAATGTTCATTAAAACTTGCCAAACAAAAGATATTGAAAATACGTTTCATAAAAAAATATTAAAATTAAAAATATTAGGGATAAAAAACAATATTTTATGCGCATGTCTTGAATATTGAAATTCAAGTACCCAAATATGAATTCAGCCCAGGGCACTGCAATATTTTTTTTCAATATGATAAAAAAGTGCAATATTTATTTATATTTTTAAATAACAATATATTTATTACAATTAATACGATGCCGAGAGGAGACTGCGAGCACGCAGCAATCGCACTGACCGTCAACTGTCATCGCTGTCCTTATTGGCAGAAGAGGATTTCGCACTGCCAGGAGTGTCCAAAGAAATGACGAATTCGTAAATGTGTTGGTCCATTACGTTATCTTATTACTGAAATTCAAGACACAGCTTATTTTCTGTTTATCGTTTGACAACCCCTACGGTAGAAACACATATGCTGCTCTTCGTCTGATCCTTCTCTCTCATCAGTTTATTATCGCCAAAGAGAGAGAGAGAGAGTGGAGAGAGGGGGAGCGAGGGAGAGATAGACATACAAAGAGAGAGTTAAGTTGTGACAAAGAGCGCAGGCAGGCGGAGAATGTTTGTAGCTTTGGAGGGGAAGGCCGCGTTCAGGCATGCGTAGTGGAAGTTTTGTTTGACTGACTGGTAGAGCTAAAGTTACTTTCGGTTATGGCTTTGCTTTCCGATTTATGATTATTTTTTATTTTGGGGTAAAATCGTTTTATAAGCATTTTTTGCCTGAGAAATAAACTGATTTAACTTTGGAGGTATATTTTTCAAGGCGAGTATTTAGCATGATAAGGGAAAGACGTAAGTGAACATAGTAAACCAAGATTTATTTTAATTATCTATTGACATATGTTTTTACCCTATAACTTCTTTTTAATAGTTTAAGATATCTGTCGTTATTTCAAGGTGTTTGGACATGCAAGCTATTTATTTCACAATCTGAATTATCTATCTTAAGATATGCACATCATTGCAGTCAGGTTTTTAGTACGAATTATTTTTATAAAACATGTACAACTGTTTGTACCTGTAACTCTTGCGAGCGTACGTGGGCCTGAACGAGAAGGCAGAGTTGCGTATGCATTTCTCAGAATCTTCCCCTGCCACGCTCCGTCTGTCTGCTTCTCGGCCCACAGCCACATGTGCCTCCACACGGCCGAATAACGTTGTTGTATAAGACAACTACTCTAACAAATTAACCAGAAAATATGCATTATAAAATCTAGAATTTAAATTGCGCCACAATCTTCTAATTCATTTTATTAATTAATGACACTTACTTTAGTGCCTAATTTAACTGTTTTTTCCCATTCAAGAGGCAGGCAGGTACGCGGTTCACACGCCGGAAACTTTTAGTGCTGCACAGAGAGGGTGGGGTGGAGAGAGGTGAGCAGAGACATGAGCAAGAAACAAAACGTATCTTTAGACGATTCTGTCCAGTATGCTTAAGAAAGAAAACTGTTATACGAAAATGTGGAGGGAAGTTAGATCTATTTATCAATTTATTAACACCAACGTAATAATTATTATTTAATGAAAATCGGCTCAGAGAGAAATCAAAAAGATATCTCATGAAACATTACTGCCAAGCTCTTCATTATTTATAATAATAATAATAATAATAATAATAATAATAATAATAATAATAATAATAATAATATTAATAATAATAATGTGCTATTATTTAATCTAATTATTAAGCAATTAAGAAAGCCTTAATAAAATTATTAATAGTACCTATAAAACATAAATCAGTAGTAAAATAATAATAATTGAAAATTAATAAAATATAATTTCCTTAAAATAACAAAAAACGGACCGTCCAGTAAATGCTCAAAATGACCACCATTTGCCAAGAAACAGGTGTTTACTCTTTTCAGTGTAGTTGCTGCAGTTCGTTGCAGACTAACAACGACAGAATAAGCGTTGTCTTTCTTCCAAATAAAATTGTCCACATTCTCGCGCACCGAAACCACGGGTCCGTGGGTCGCTAAAAATGAAAGGGATGCCAAAGGTATTTCATGCGTTGCCAAATTGCCTAAACAAGAGGTGGTGGTTCCAGACATAGGTTGCGAGTTCAGTATTCAGTTTTGCGGTGTCCATAAATGGCTCTTCCCAGCTGCCATCTATGGCTTTATATAAAATACTCTCCAAAATTAAAATTTCAAATTCAAGGGGCCGTGAAATCAGCCATTGGAGAATATCAACTTTTGTGAAAATCGAGCTCACAGTTTAGCCGCTAGCGTGGTGCACCGGCGGGCATACGTTTTGTCCTTAACCAATTAAGGTCCCAGAAAACATGGATTCTGACTACACTACGAGTTAGAGGAAGTAATTTATTAAGACAAGAAATATTCATTTTTTCAGTATCAGGGTTCTATATTACCTCATTTCTTCTTCTATTTCTTTCTCTTTCTTATTTTCTATTCTACTATTTTTCTACCGAAAATTCGCCGCGTTTCGTTGCAGCGTAACTAAGCTTTATAATACGTATGTAGTATGCGAGAAAGTAAAATATTCGCAGTGACTTAAAACATGGACCATTAAGACTTTCTCAATTATACCTACAAATGCATTTTGTTATCCCGCTGAGGCAAGTGCTGGGCATTGTATGTTTTGCTGCCGCATCTGTTGCAGATGTTTGGGTCAGTATCTTCTTGCAAGCGAATTTAACTTTTGCAATTTAAAAACGACCGCCTTTTCGTTTTGGTATGTGCTGCAATCTACTTCATCAATTTGGAATTATTTCAGTTTGTGTGGTTTCGAACATGGCTTCCGCTGATGTTAAGTAGTGATGTTTAAAGGGGATTTTTACGTAGTTTTTTAGATTTTAATTGTAAATCCTAAATGACATCCAGAAGAATGAGTGAGAGAAAGTTTACAAGAGGGCTTGGAAAGCCTGGAATGGCCGCACAAATTCGTGAAACTGTTTCACAGGCAGTTAGAGAAAGCACTGTTTTGGTACGTGTTTATGTCATTTTTATTTATAACCAAACCAGTGGAACTAAGTTTCAGTATTTATCAAAGATATGAATATGAAGAATCCATTAATTGTTTGGCCTTTCGTTCATTAAATTTCCTTTTTGTATATCTACAAATATTTTAGTATAATACATTTAATTGTTTGTAGAACAAGCCCCAGCTGGTTGATCCAATAGATTTTGAATCATTTATTTTGAAAAACAAGACTTTAATTCAGAATGATCCACAACGTGAACTTTTGTTGTATCCAACAGATGATGTATCGGTAAGTATCTCTTTTGAGGTTAGGTTATTGTAGATTTTAATGTAGTGGTGAGTTTATACCGCTATATTGATCTTTTCATTTGGCTTGCAGCAAGTGGTTTTGCCTCGACGTTACCGCACGACAACTCACAGTGTTCCTTCAAACTTGGATACATCTGAATGCAATCTCTTCACAAAAGAATGCCTGCGTAGTTACACCTCCAATTGGAATCTAATTCATTATAAATATAGTGCTTATTCAGGCACATACTTAGAATTGCCAAAGTAAGTAGTATCTTAAAACTTTTTCGAAGTGTGATCATATTAGATCATAGTTTAGGAGAGATTATTAAACAGTTTCAAACATGAAAATTGAAGAATGTTTTAAAAAGTTACACATTTAGCTACTTTTGTACTAATATTAAATACCAAAAAACAAATTAAATTTGTTATTAATAGTGAAAAGGAGATTATTATATTAACAGTAATAATAATTGACAATGTATATTCCAAGAGATCTTTGGTACTGACAGCGTGTTCACATTGCAGTGTTGCCTGGGCACATGCTTTTGCAGAGTGGAAAGATATTCCTGTCCAATATTAATCATTGTTCATGGTCTACCAAGTCCTTATGTTTTGTTTGATTCTTACGGCACAGCATGGTGAAACATGCCCTAAAACCCTGTCATACCTTTGGTGGCGTACGTGGGAATGTGGAAACATGGCTCATTTTGTGGGCAATGCAACTTAGCAGGCAAATCCAACTGGCCTATTGCCACCTGTCCCCCTGCCATCACCCTAAACACATGAGAGATGCCACCCAACTGTCAATCCCAAAGTTTCATTTCCTGGAGTATAATGTGTTGTGTAGAGAGTAAAAGCAAAAGTTAATGCAAAGTTGTTTTAATTATTTTTATTTTCTTCATTTTTAGGATTTTGAAATCGGATGAATTGAAAGATGAAATATATGAAGTGGACACTGATGCTGATCAGTTAGATGAGGTAAATTTTTTCGCCCTGTATTATACAGATGTGAAGTAAATAATTAGGTGCTTGTGAGCATCAACATCAGTTTCTGCTGCTTATTGAGAATGACTATACTATTGACATAATATGGAAACTGAATGGTGACTTTGTGATGGTATTAGTTTTGTGTGTTAATGGTTATTTGTGCAGTAATCACTCAGTTTTAGATATGTGATTTTGTGTTTTGTTACTGACAAAGGTTATGTTTCCAAAAAGCTTGTAAATTTTATGTTTCTAATATATGTTTCTGTGTTCTGTTCAAAGTATTCTTGAATCAGTCTTAGTAAATGTAATGTTATCATGAATGCTTGATGAGAGTATGATAAAAATATCATTTATCACATTAATTTCACATTTCTTGTTCAGGAAGTGTTTCCTAAAAATGAAGGCATCACTAAACAAGGCTTTCTAATGAAAGGACCAGAGGTAGGATCTGACCGCATGTTTGTGAACCTAGGATCAAAATCCTTTAAGAGACGATATTGCTATTTACGGCAAGAAGTTGATGGAACATACATTCTTGAACTACATAAAGATGAGAAGAAGGGAGAAGCAAAAGCCACAATAGTCATGGATTTCTGCACAGAAGTTGTAAGAAATCCAAAACGAGGACGCTTTTGCTTTGAATTGCGCATGATAGCTGGCCATAAGTCATTCAGTCTAGCAGCTGAATCAGAGGCAGAAATGGCCGACTGGATGGCAAAGCTTAGTGCTGTTCTGCAACATAATAGACAACAAGAAGAGAAGAGGGCAGCGTCTCTGGAAAGAACTAGTAATACACCCCCTCCTTCTCCACAACCTCTTCAAATGTATGGGACTCTTAAGGGATTGGAACAGAGTATGAACCCACAACTGATGAAATATGCTCGTGAAACCGATTCCTCAATTGCCTTTGCACGTCGTGAGAATCGCCGTCGGCTTTTTAGTCTATATCCCCACATGCCATTGGCAAAGCCAGGCACCAGACTGTCAGCAGAGCAGAATGTTGACCCTTATCGGGAACAGTTTGGACAGCGGTTGTTGGTCCGTTGTGAGAGTATCCGTTTTCGCTTGCAAGCACCAATTGATGGGGAGAAAGAAACATTATGCCAAGTTGAACCGTACTTAACGTCATTGGCTCTCTTCGATGCACGTCAGGGTCGTAAGTTAACAGAAAACTTCTACTTTGATGTGAATCATCCCCAAGTGAGGGAACTGTTGCCCTCGTTGCTGCCACATGGTGAGAGCCCTGTCGATTGTGACTCCCTGGCTCCTGAGTTGCAGCATGTTCCTCCTGAGTGGTTGGTGTACCCCAAGCAGGCGGTTATGAGTCTTACTTCTCCACATCCCGATGTTTTTATTGTGGTCCGAATTGACAAGGTTCTTCAGGGAGGGATCTGTCAGACAACAGAGCCCTACATTCGAAGTACCAAAGACCCCAGGCTGGGGCTCAGAGTGCACAAGAATGTCAAAGCCTGCTGTCAGAGGTAAGTTTTAAGCTGTCTTTCTTATTTGGCCAAACACATTCAAATACTAGTTCAGAAACAAAAGTAAACAGTTGTGGTTGAAGATATGTCCCACTTCTGTCTTCAATGTGGTTTGATAAATAAATAAATTGCAGAGAAACTGACAGTATTGTCTGTTCAGTCATGTGAGTGATTTTTTTTGATACTTATTGATATCAAACCAAAACAGGCGTGTTTGATGAGTGGGTAATATATAGAAACAATGTGCTTTTATTTCACAAACATTGGCTAACTGAGTTATTTTACTCCCTGTTAGATTTGTCATCGGGGCATACATTCTGTTGACGTTATCTTTTAAATCATAATAAACTTTTTTGTACTTTTAAAGTAATTAAAGTTAAGCACTTCATGATTGTGGCTTAAAGTAAAAACATCTAACATAATTTTAAAAAAATCTTGTTTAAATCAAATAAATCTGATTTAAATCAAAAAATATAATTTTATATAAATAAATTTTATTTAAAATTTTAAAATTTATTGAATAAGTAAACATTTTATACAAATTTTTGAAAAGAAAAAATGAAGTCCTTTTCCCCTTAGTTTAAAGTATTTTAGGTCATTTTACTCTTATTTTTAACTTTTTTTAGGTCGTTTTCAAAGAATTTGTAGGTCATCAAAATCTGAACCCTGTTTCCCCCTATTAGAGAATGCTTGCATGAAATCATTTTATTTACATACATAATTTGTTGATGAAAAGTTAATGAAATATGAGTTAAATTAAAAGCGTGATGAAAGTTAACATCCCAGGTTTGTACAAATTCAGTATTTATGGATTCTCTGTTTGCATCCGTTTTTTAAATTAATTTTATTGAAAAATGGTGGCAGCAACAAGCTGTTGTATAGCACATTATATCTCCTAATTAATGAATTATTTCATCAATTTAGCTTCATGTTTCTTTGTTCTATTCATCAGTTTCTTAGGAAACAGGTTTGAAAAAAAGCAGTATTTCTTTATTCTAGGTATTGATATAGCGTTTTACATCATTCATCAAGGAATGTTTTACTTACTTCATTGCAATTTTTGTTGACCAGAAGAATTTCAGTTGTTTTAATCTCATCTTGTGCTCTCTGAACAAAATAAATTTTTGCCATTGTGTTCTCTTTGGCATCACCCTTAGTAACAATTGCTTAAATATGTGTATCAAATGTAATTTTGGGGACAAACACAATATGCAAGTAGTTCATTAAAGTAACTCTTTGCTGGCTTCTCATCAATAGAATTAAATTAATTGTCTATTACGGAAGCCTGCTCTGGAATTAATTTATACTTGTTTGATTAAAGGTACAATTACTTTTCGTGAATTGTAACACAATTATTTTTTTAGTTCATTAGGTTCTTGTTATGATTCTCGTTAGCAGGTCTTTTGTAGATTTGCAGAATAAATTTTTAAAAGATCAAGGGTTTAGTATAGTAGTTGAGGTCATTTCCTCCAGGCTATAGTGTAGTCCTGCTCAGAAGTCATTATCAGGGTCTTGGAACAAGGACCCTCCTTGTGGAAATCAGACTAGTGTTTGGAATGGAATGGTTTTAATTTTTTTATGTCTGAATTAAATTAATAATTATGTCTCTTTTCAAAGAATAATTAAGATACTACATTGTCCTTTGAATGAAGGAATCAGGCTTCCTTGACAGAATAACTTAACTCCAATTATATACAGTATTCTTCGAGTTCACTGGGTCTTGAAAGAGGCAAAGTTGCTGTGTATTTCTGCCTTTGCCATGTGCTTGCTGCATGAGCACCTGTACATCACTACCAAGTTATCCCTTAATTTATTCACTCTGACATGGTAGCTTTTAGGATAGAAGCTGCTGTTATTGCTCGTCATTAAGAAACAAACGGAATCATCATGTGACTTTCAAATCACAAGTATAAAGATGTCAAGTACAATGATGTCATTACTGATTTAAAAGAAGGTCATTTTTTGAAAGCTTTTTAGAATTTTTAATATTTTTCACTCCTATTTCTGTGATAGGAAGGAAAGTGTAAATGACATTAAACTATGTAAACTATTTAATATTTTACAGTTTTAATTTTATTTAATATATAATTGTGAATTCCATTTATTAATAGATAAACCTATACATAGTTCACCAAGCCATTGCAGTAGAGACATTTTTTATTTTTTTTTCCAGGCTTGGCCAGTACCGAATGCCATTCGCATGGACAGCAAGGCCCTTGTTCCGATTGTACAGCAACGAATTGGACACCTCCTCTGACTTTCCTGCTGTTTATCGACAGGAGGCAAATCGGCTCAAAGATGAAGAGTTATTGAAGATTCTTTCTGAATACAGAAAGTTAGTTTCATTTTCAGCTTCATTCTTTGTAAATAATCTGGGCCTCTTTTTCTGCTTCTTGCTGATGAAAAGATGTTTTAAGAGGGATATATATTGTGAGAACTTCAAAGAATTAATGTCAAATAAGTTTAGTATCTATAGGAAATAGAAAATTTCCATCAAATGTTCAGTTTGATTTCATTTCTTTTCATTTTTATCAGTGAATCATGATCTGGAATACAGAAGAATTTCAAACAATTGTATTACCATTTGTAGATTAAGTGAACTATTTCAACTTTTAAATGGTCTTAAATTGCAGACTTCTAATTTTTTTTAACAGAATACAATTTCTCATACTTTTGATATTTATGTATTTTGGTTGATGATCTGTTTTCTTTAAATTAAGCAAACTCTATGAATGAAAATTATTATGGTAAAAAATACTGAAATTGTCATTTCGAAAGAATTAATTAATTTGTTCAGTAAAATAGCTGAAGAATATTAATATTGCATAAAAGTAGACCTTGTATTAACTTTCAGGCTGTCATATTTTGTTTTTTATCAGTGTTAAATGAGATGACACATTCTTTATAGACCTGACAAGCTGAGCCGGTTAACTGTGATTCCTGGGTGGGTGAAAATCAAGATTGAAGCCATCACAGAGCTACCAGAAAGTGAGTGTTTTCACTTATTCCATTAACAAATGAAGTATACACATCCTTTTTGGCAGCTAAAACAATCAGTGAATCTTGCTTGATTTATTGACATAGGGGTAACATAATCTATTATCATGAGGTTGTTACAGTTTATTAACAGGTTGGAAAATCCAAAATAAATTGCAGAATTTTTTGTGATTGAACAATGTCGTTTAAGAAGTAAGTCTATTCCTGACCAAACCAAATGCTTGATCTAGTTACTCAGAGCACCAGAACTTGTATATCTTCGAGCATTGTATGCCTCAAACACCTAGTACTTGGAAGAAAGTGAAGTGCTTTCAATCTACAGGTTTTTGGAGTTGGAGGAGAATTCTAGAAAATGCCTGTTGTATCAAAACTACCTAACTAAGCAGTATTGTTGAAGCAATAGGAAGATGCCATTGAAGTTAAGATGAAAGTATTTTTTCTGTATACGTCTTCAGTTATAAAAATCTGTGAACTTCTTTACACTCTTACCATATTTTCTGTATGCTGCATTTGATAGAGGATAATTGGGAGTTCACAGGGATTTGAAACAATGAGAAGGAATGGGATGTGTTTATGTGAAATGTACAAAGCAAAAAAAGGGATGCAGCATGGGCAGATATCACTAATAGACTATAGAAACTGACAGGAAAGTAAAGAGAATCAACTTTGGAAAATACAATGTTAAAAGCAAAGGAAGTTTTCCTTTGTGAATTGCGCTATAGTTGATGGGACAAAACTAGTTCCTGCAAAAGCATTAGAGGCTCATCTTTCAATGTAGAGATATATTTGAAAATAATCTAAATCCCTTGCAAATTTTTCATTACTATTATTATTATTATTATTATTATTATTATTATTATTATTATTATTATTATTATTATTTTTGCACCCGGTTTCTCTGGTTTGAGGTCTTTAAATTATGCTAAAGTGAGTGGGTTGAGGCAGCATTACGCTGCATTACATTGGGTGGTAGAAGGGGGGGATTATTTTATAAATTATTGTTATGTAACATTGATATTTATTTTTTACATTTTTCGACATTTGCTGAAATAATTCCCTTTTTTAATCGTATACTAAAACCATTAATATATTAACTAATTCATTTGTTTTAAAATTATAAATAAATTAAAGTTGAAGATATAAATTGGTACAATAATTGGAAATATTTTTTATCAACTTTTTATTGAACTTGTAAGATTACAAATAAATTATTCAAAATAGATATTAGTGTATTCTAGAATTCAATTAAAGTGATGCAGTAGACTGGCTGTGTGTTATGGCTTATGTTAAAAAAATTTTGCTTGTATAAATAAATAAATAAATAAATAAATAAATGTCTTTATTGATGGCAAGGCTCAAGCCATTTAGCCTGCTCTTCCGCCTGACCATATGATGCTTGTATGTGCTCATCCTTCACTCACAACTTGCCTCTGATCTTATTTTTTTTGTAGTGTACTTAGCATCACCAACTAATTCTGGCTTTATTTATCACAAAATTTTAATATGCAACACAAATAATGATTAGTACACTATAATTTATTTTCACTTGCATTTACAAAGGGGGGGGGGGATATTTTGCAAGTGTGATGTAATTATGGGGGTGATCAAGCTCATGCTACTGGTGCATTATAGGAAAATAAGGAGTATTCAAAATACTCCAAATTTGCATTATGTAATTTATGGAAGGCTTCTTTGCACTTGTAAAAAGACTATTCACTCTCTATGAGTTCATATCTCTTGGCAAGGGCCTGGTGAATTACTTAACTGACATAGTTGCTCTTGCTAAGGTTTTCTGTTTGAGCCAATGCAGGGCATTCATGGCATATATGTTGAATTGACTCATGGGTAGATTTACATAGGTGACATCACGTATCAAATTTCCTGACCTACAACGACTTTTTTGAATGCTCTGGTTTTAACAACTTGATCTTAAGTGGAGAAAAGATGATGATGGTTGTTGCTATTGTTGTTGTTGTTGTTGTTATTATTATTATTATTATTATTATTATTATTATTATTATTATTATTAAATAATTTTTAAGATTATTGAAAAAAAGTTGATACCATTTTTGAGAAACTTGAAAATGTTCTTTAGGCTTCATATAAAGTTCCCCAAAATCAAAAAGATGTTTTAAATTCGCAGAACCTGAGTTCAGCCTGGTGGATAAAGTAATATCCATTTTGCCCCAAATCCTTTGTTGTTTAGGTGCTAGTGTTAATAAAAAATAACATACACAAAAACTGACATAAAAAACATGACTATCCAGGAGTCTCAAAATGTTTCCTCAAATGTGTAACTTGAAAAGATTTTTTGCTGCATTACATAACTTTCCCTATATAAGAGAAAGTTAAAATTGATACTTGAAACAATGTGATGTTTTAAAAGAAAATTTACTCAGTAACAAAAAGTTACGAACAGTATATGCAGGTTATTCATTGTTGATAAGTAGTATAATATTACATAAACATTACAAATAATCTGGCAAAAGATGTGATGTGGTGTAACAGCACACACTTACGTTTTTTATTAATATCTGATTGCAGAAACAATATTGTAACTTTCTTAATGTGTTGAATCACCTTTTGTTAATAAAGTGTTATTGTAATTTGTTTCAGATTCATTGACTTCATCCTTGATGCCTCTCAAACCATTCCCGCTTCCTCCATCAGGGGAGCCAACACTAGAAGTCAGTGAAATCGAGGGACCAACTGAGAAAGATGTGCATCCCTATACTACATTTGTGAATCATCTCTATGTTTATCCTCATAATCTTCATTTTGACACACAGAAGACATTCACACGTGCCAGAAATATTGCCTGTTCTGTGGAACTTCGAGATTCTGATGCAAGTGGTTCTCAGCCTTTGTGTGTGAGTTGTATTATTAAATCACTTCTCAGTGTAGTTTGTGCTGAAAGCACCAACAAAGTAATCTGAATGTACAAGTTAATGAGTGTTATTAGTGAGTCCTTGCTGGCAACATTCTACTAGGGCTCGAATTTGTTGGGTTGTACCTATTACTTTCTCATATTCTTAGTGTAGAGAGAGGAAAATAATGCGGCAGGAACTAGTGTCAATCTTTTGACATAAAAATATGTACTATGGGAGCTTGATAGTAAGAAAGTGGACTTTTTTCTCGTCTTTTACATCATATGTTATTTTGACATTAACATAGTATAATTGTTTTGGAAGGTTCTTAAAATTGAGAAAGATGATTTTCTCGAAATGTCTCTCCATCTGTCTGTAGACAACACTTGAGTCTCAAGTGCACCTAAGTATTTTACCAAAATGTTTATTCTTTGATCTGTATGATGTTGCATCGGCTTGTAATTGAGATGGATCTATTAATTTTTGGAAGTATTTTACATGAAGCACCAAGTCAATTTGAACATTTTCTAAAAAATTCGTTCTTCTTTTTTTGCTCAAATAGAGCAAAGTATGTGCTTATAAAAATGGTGCAGGTTTGATTTTCAGTAAAAATCTGAATTTTAGAAAATTACAAATATTTACAAGTTTTCTGACCCCCCTCCTACAAATGAATTCTAAATTATTGAAGAAAGATTTTTTGTTAATGTTTTTTCATTAAAATTAGTTCTTTAAGTAATGCCTTGTACAGTTTTTAAAAATGAGTAATTTTGAAGTATTTTTGAGCAAAATAAGGATATATAATATATGAACAAAAAATTCCAATAAGATATTCTCAAAAACAATTTCAAATTTTCTCCTACTGAAAATGTACAATTTGATTACTCAGATGGATGATTGATTGATCACTCACTCTTGTCCTCATGGATATTCAAAAGACAATGTTTAGTTTTGGTGCTAGGTCTGCTTTTTATTCCTGTAGTAACACTATTGGGATATCGGGTAGAATGTTTAAAGTGTTCACGTTGGTGAAAGTCACCTTCTCCAGTACCTCAGTATATGTTGAGGCATATGTATGGTCAGTTGTTCGTCAGGTTCCATCCCATTGCTAAATTATTTGGTAAGGGTTTTAGCAAATTCTTGTGGATCATCTGTTGATTCCTCAGAGTCTTTTTTAATTGTTCTAAGTACATCTACTCTTAAGGTGTTTGTCCCTTCTCGCAATGCTTTGTTTTCATATTCCTTTCTGTTATTTCATATCATCAAAGTTACATTGTTATGTTATCTTTTATTCAATGTGTATAGGTGCGCTTTTGTAGAATGTTTAAATTTACTCCAAGTTCCATTCTTTTTCCATAGTTTTGTGAATATTAATGGTGATAGCCAGGTCTTTGTATTGTATCTTTTGACCATGGATGGCGAGTGAGATTTTAAAAGAGTTTGAGTTGCTGTTGGGAAATATTTCTTGTTACCTTTCTTGAGATACTACAAAGTTCAATTTTGATCTTAATGAGATGATCTGAAGGAGATGATCTGTTGAAAGTTTGATGATAGCTTCTGAAAGTCTGTTTATAGCTTTCACATTGTTCAATTTGTCTTTTTTGAGAAAGTTTTGAAATTGTCATGGGGCTTCATGTAAATCTGTCCAAAAATTAAAATATCTCTTTCAATCACCCTGATAGATCAGGTAATCCCCTTTATGCTGGGTATGGTTTAGATACTAATGCTGTTCGCAGATTGCTGAATGGAAGGACGGACTGACAGATTAACGGGCAGACGTTTTTTGATATCAAGGAAACTCGAAATATGAATTTTGGCTGCACATTAATTATGAGAAAGTATGCACTATGTAAGGGAGAATGAAAAATCAACTTTTGCAGTATCAGCAAGCCAGAAAATATTATTTTCAGTCAAACTCTTGAAGTAGTTAAATTATATATTTTTATTGGTTTTTACACATTTAAATGAATTCATTACGGAAATTATTTATGTATAAAATAGACAAATTGTCTGTAAATTAGAAATAAAAAAAGTGATCTTTTCCTGCAGAATTGCATTACTTCATTTCTCTGTTTAGTAGACAAGAAAGAGAAAAAGGAATGATTTGGAACTATTGAATGACCTCTCAATGTCATTGGTGTTGTTGGGAATAATATTTGAGTGCTTACAAAACTTCTACAAAGAAGCCATAATTTTCCCCACAAATCAGCATGGTTTTGTTCTGAAAAGTTCAAACCCTACAAACCTCTTGGAGTGTGTAGGAATGTGGACAAAACTATACGAACAGTGATTACCATAATTATATTGTCTGCCGTAACTTTGAAGAGGCTTTTAACAGAGCACCCCAGTGATGCTTAGCTTGGACTAGGGGAATGTTCCTGGGTTGGTTGGATGATCCAGACAGCCAGGGTTGTTAAGACAATAGTGTTGAAGTGAGCATGGTCCTTGGGGTGGCAGGTGTGAATCCTGCATAGGCATGGGTGTTTTCACCCTTGTGTTGTGACATGGCTTTCCCACCCTTGTTGCATTGCACTCTTGATAAACAATTTTTTTCATTAGACATCAACCTCTTTTTCCGAATAATCATGTAATTGACTAACTAAAGTCCCATCCCTGAAATATTGTGAAGTTAATTGTATGATTGTTGTTTATGAATTTTATGGATGCATGAGAGTGATGTCTAATTGAATACATTTTCATCACTCATGTGTGCTTTGTCATGATTATTCTTCATTATATTCATTACACACAATAAATCAGACAATATTTTATTAGTTGTCTGTTTTTTTTTTTTAAGGAAGAGCAATCGAAAGCAAATATTTGGGGTATTTTTTATACTTTAAGATTTGTTCATATTTTTCACCCAGCTATTTGCTTGCTTTCAGTGTATATACGGACGGCCAGGAGGTCGGTTGCTGGTGTCTCGTATGACTTGTACTGTGTTACACCACAGCACTTCCCCCAGCTGGTATGAGGAGGTGAAGGTAAAGTTACCAATTAGTCTGCATGCTAGGCACCACTTGCTGTTCACTTTCCATCATGTGAGCTGTGATCAAAGTAAAAAGCCCAGTCAAAATGGAGTTGAGACGTGTGTGGGCTATGCCTGGCTGCCCCTTCTTCACAAAGGCAGGTTAGTAAGAAGTTTGTGGTGTAATGTAATGCGAAGCTATACAGTTGTGGCATGTATGGTGATGTTGCTGTGTCTGATGCAGGCTGAATGTGGAGGAGCAAGTGCTGCCGGTGGCTGCGTCTCTGCCTGCTGGCTACCTTGCGGTGCAGCCCCTAGGACTGGGCAAGGGGGTAATGCCACTGGTCTGTCTTTGGTTTTCTTCTTCCTTTTCACCTTCTTGCTGCTTCCTATCTTTTCACCTTTAGCCTGTGCTTCAAGATGAAGCAAAAAGCATTGCTTCCAATCTTATTTCTGAGAGGAAACGGATGGAGTATAAGGGAAGAAGAATGTACAAATGTGGTAGATATATTCTAGTTTTAAAAATGTACCAAGGCATTGAACTCAAAAACTTTTTCAATTGTCAAAGCAAAACCAAAACTGTTATTTTTTCATTAAATGTATGTTTATTAAATGTTTCGAGAAGAAACTTGGTGTAAACAACAGATGTCTGAGCTTTTACATGTTATTCCAGTTTCTTTTAGAGATAAAATATTCTGTTTTGTGTCATTGAATGCTTCAGACTGAAACAGGACAATTTCTTTGTAACTTAAAAATTATGCCCGAGAATTCTTGTTGAAACTTAAGAGACCTTACTTAAACACATTGGTATAAATTTAATTCAAGCCAAGAAATACCGTATTTATCCGAATATAAGTTGACCTCGAATATAAGACTACCCCCTAATTTTGAAGAGAGCCCCTGAGAATTTTTAAAATTTTTAATTCTTTCTATTTCGTCAAAATAAAATTACAAAATGCCTTATTGACTAGAAAATTGCCTTGTTGATGAGAATGTTAAGACTTATTGCTGAACTATTATTTTCTTGTTCTTTAATATCATCAGAATCATGTTTTTTTGTCACTACCCTCATCATCTTCACATATATCAATGTCTCATTCTTTTTAGTCCTCCATCCATGCTGTAACTTTTTCTGTTTTAAACCCTATACTGTCAGTTTTGTGGACTAAATTTTGGATTGTTCGTAGTCTTTCATTAGATGCTATCTAAGAACATTCCCTTTTGTTATCAAATTTTCTATATGTGCCACACTTGTTGATGACCTCTATTTCTGTTCAAAATGCAGGTTTGTATTCACTCGGGCATCGAACCAAGATTCCACGAGGCCTTGTTGAACCCACATCGTGTAACAAACATCGGCATTCATTTTCATATTGTTTCATTTGATGCAATGCCATTTGGGTAGAGATTCTCTTTACCGGTCCATTCAAATATATCGGTCTGAATTGCTCGACAAATTCGTGATGGATGCCGAGAATACGAAAGCGAATATAATGATATTTTTATATATATAATGATATGATATTTTTACAGTCTTCGCAGTTTATTGTTACATCAACAATTACGAGTTTCCTGACATTGAATGGCAGTGAAAAAATATTAATCCTAACTGGCTAGGCTTAAACTGCGAATATAAGACAATCTTGCATTTTCGATTGAGATATTTTGGAAAAAACTTGTCTTATATTTGGGTAAATATGGTAAAACTAAAAAGAAATGTGGTATCTGACATATTTTGAATGTGTCTAGTAATTGTTATATTATTACTGTATTTGCCCAAATATAAGATGACTTCTTTGAATAGACCTGAGAATTTTGTTTGTTTTTATCTAACTCTTATTGTTTAGTGAAAATAAAATAAAAAATTGTTTAATTGACTAGAAAGTTGTGTTGTTAATGAGAATGTTACATTTTTTTGTCTGAGCTTACTAATTTTGTGACCTGTTATCATCCTTAAATCATCATCATCATCATCATCATCATCATCATCGTCATCGATTTCATTATTACCATACTCATCTTCACATGTGTCATTGTTTCTTTCTTTCTTTCTGACCCTGCTCCCTTACTAGGTTGCTTTCTGACTTTTTTTAGGCCCCTCTGAATGTTTTTGATGTTGAATGAAAATTTTTAGGCTTTCTTCTGAAGCCAATTAAAAACATTACATTTTCATGTCACCAGATTTTCTTTCTGACATTCATCTATTCATGACCTCTGCTTCTTCAATTGCAAATTTGTTTCATTACAATTGTTTGATCGAGTTGTGAATTGCAAAGTATTTGTGAATCCTCATTCTGCTGTTTGTTTGGGAGAGAGCGCTAATTGCCAACGTTTGGGAATTTTTTGCTCAGGCATTGTTATAAAAATCATTCCATCCCTATTTGAATGTAGAATGCATACCTCTATCAAGGTGAGTTTTGTACATTTCGATCTTGTGAAATGACTTGGAATCACACTCACTGGGCATTGAACAGAAAGTTCATGTGTCATCAGTTGAAAACTCATAATGTACCAACATCTCAGCAGTAATTTTCATTCATTTTCACACTCCATTTCACTTCAAGAAAGAGATTCTTTCTTTACCATTCAAAAATGTTAGTCTGAATCGCCTGGCTAATCCATGGTGGATGTAAAAAACAAGGCAATGAATCTAATTATAATTAGGTATTATAGATAAGGGTTGTATTTATAGTCTTTGCAGCTTGTTGTTACATCAGTGTTCACGTTTCTTGGCACCGAAAGCCAAAAGATCCCAACAGCGATAATAAGATGACACTGTATTTTTCGAATGAAGTATTTAGGAAATAACCTTGTCTTATATTCGGGTAAATGTAGTATTTTTGTTAGTTTCTCTCTGTGAAATAAGACAGCTACTTTGGTTGAATTTTTGATTCAACATTAATATGGCAAAATATTTTATTCAGGTTATTGCCAAGGTAATATTTTTTTTGTGCCTTGAATACATGATAAAATGGGCAATACTACAATTTATCTAAGTTCTAAATTATTGTTATTTATTTTTAAAATATTTAATAAAATTGGAGGAAAATCTGAATTTGTAGGTAACCAAGTTTCGCCATCAGCGATCATGTATTTTTATTCTTCGAGGAAAAATATGTAATATTTCATTGCACCATTGAATCATTGTAATCAGTAAATATCAGCTTTTAATAACTGCTTTATTTTGCAAGATGAAAAAATGAAATGAAATTTTTAATTAAAAATATAAATAAAAATTGAATAAATTTGATTTAAATCATTGAAATTCTTTTTAACTAAAGCAAATTGCTGGGCACTGTTTTTGAATGCCTTACTATGGCTTATCTTTTCTCTTCAAGCATGATTGTTATAAAGGCTGATGTTGAAGTTTGTGATAGGAAAGTCTTGAAATATATTGCTTAACTCTGATGTTGACAAAAGGTGGTAAAACATAGAATTTATTTCCATGAATCAACTGGAACATTCATTTTACAAGAGATTATAATGGAAAAAAATCCTTTTCAGTTAAAAATCATTAGGCACAGAAATATATGTTTTGGTAAATTTGAAATGGGTGAAACTCAAAGCAGAAGAAACTGGAAAGAAAAAATCAACTGGATTTTTTGCTCTGGTGAATGTTACTTTCAGTTCCTTTGTATTGCACTTCCTTTGACCATTTACAAAGAAGGAACTTCTTTGGTTAAATTCAAAAATGTCAACTTGTTTAATCCTTTGGAGTTATTCTTTTATTTCAAGACATTAAAATTGCCAAGGCTTAGGTTTGTTATCAACTTGCTCTTTTTTCTTTTGCATGTTTCAGCATGCTTGCATATGAACATTTCTGGGATAGCAAATGTGCAATAATAATGCCTTAGTGTTTCTGAACAACTATTTGTGATCAACCACCCTTTGGAAGAAGATGCTATTTTGCTTGTGTACCTGTGCATGATGAGTGTAATTTGCTATCATCTTTATCTGAATGGTATTTGCATTCTAACATCTGTAATTTAACATTGTAAAACATATAAGAAAATCAATGTCTTGGAATTATTTAAATATTTTGCTCGGCATTTTTAAGTATTGATTCCTAAATGTTTGGAAAACTATTTCTTTAAATCTATTTAACCAAATTCTTCTTTATTTATTTATGTGACATGCACTTTAACTTTTCCTATATCTTTTGTATAACTCAAGTTAAAATTTTGTCAGAATAGGTTCATAGTATTAAACAAACTATTAATTAATTTATTTTATTTAAGCTTTACAGCAATCTGACATTTACAAACTGATTACTTCTAGGCTGTCCGGGTGCCCACGTGTACATTTACAAACTGATGATGTTTGTATTACTTATGTACATGTTGCTGCTCAAGAGTGAAAATAAGAATAAATATATTTGATGTTAATCTAAAGGATAAATATCAAATATAAATATAATATAAAGATTTTTATAAAAGTCATTGATAATATTTATTTAAAAAGTACATACTAAGCTACCAAACACAGTTGATATTCTGTCACATTGCATCAACCCATCCAAATTACTAAGGTTTCAAGAGAAAAAGATCCATTTACTCTTATTTGAAGGGTGGGAGTTTAAGGACTAGTGCAACTTTTCAGATTTTGGTCAGAATACATCGCAGTTTCCTTGGTCACTTACAAATTATGAAATTAAATTCTTGTAGAAACTTCTGTTGTAGACCTCTTCTGAAATGGCATCTTGTACATACTATAACATACAAAAAAACACAACTTTGTTTTAAATAATTCAACTTTAAAAGTGTTAATATTATTAATATTGTTAATAATATAATTTGATAATAAGTATAAATTACCTTATTTACCTAATTATAAAAGTATGTTTGATTATATGCAGATTAAGCTTAGTCGGTTAGGAATTGTGATCTTATGTTGTCTTTCTATCTCATTAAACTTGTAAATGTTGACATAACAATAAATTGCAAAGATGATAAAAATAGTATACAAATCTATAATATGTGATTGCATTCATGGTTGTATTCTCAGTATTCACCATGAATTTGCTGGGTGATTCAGATTGATGTTTTTGAATGGGCTTGTACAGAGTGAATCTTAAACGAAAGGGATTGAATCATGTGAAACCCAACATTATAATGAATAAAAATTGTTGCAGAGATTTAGTTACACAATGCAATTGATGAGTCTGGGTGGACTTCAAATCAATGGTTGGTCAATGGTGTAAAAAATTTGTTTTGCAAGTGATACAAATGAAAAACTTCTCATTGATAAAAATACACACACATTCTGGATTTCTGGGAAATATATACATAAAAGGATGATAAACAAATATTTTTTTAGCAAACCTTGCTACTAACTCCAATGCTACCCATGAAATGCAGTAGAAGAGAATATATGATTTCACAGATCACAGCTTAATTACATGGATATTAAACAATGTGAATTAAAAGTAAATTCAAGTATGTTTTGATAAAGAATGTGAAAGCAATGTTTAAGAATCCAGGGCCACGAAAAACAGTGGGTCAGGAAGAAAATCTGGTGACAGAAGGGAATATTCTTATGTTGTGTCATTTGAAAGACTAAGAATGCAAACTCATTGCACAAAAGATTCATAGAAGCTAAAAAGTACAGAACTTTGCAGAATGGGAGGACCAAAAAGAAACAATGATACATGTGTAACTGAAGAGAGTAGTGACACAAAACCATGATTATGATAATTTTAAGGAATAAAAAATAGCAAAATCTGGAGCCAAAAATGTTAACACTTTTATAAATATCGAGTAATGGTAAGAATTGCTAAAAAATCACAGGAGGCCTCTTCAAAATTAGGAGGCCACCTTATATTCAGAATCACCTTATATTAGGGTTAATATGGTATGTAATTTGTTTGTATTTATAAATAATAATGTATGACAAACAAAAATGATATATAAATAAATAATAATCCAATAAACATGCAGAAATATTTCCAGGAACAAAACAGAGAGTGTAAATATAGAAATATAGATATATAAACATATTAATGTCCATTGGATAAACCTTCAATACCTATTATAATAAATAATCAAATGTAATAATAATAATAATAATAATAATAATAATAATAATAATAATAATAATAATAATAAATATATTAATGATGGTGATAATGATAATGATAATATAAAATTTATAATAATTTAAATCAAAACTGATTGAAAATTTGCTATTCGTACAACTTATCCCCATTTCTACAGAAATAAAACCAATTTCTAATAATAACAACTAAAGACCAGATTCTCGTGTAACTACACCTTTTCTTTGCTTACTTGAAAATGAATGAAACCTTGACACAAATCTGAATCTTGGTACGGATGTTATTTTAGTACTTGTTTTATTTTGCATGAAATTGCACGTTTTGGGAGTTACTGCACAAAATAGCACGTTTTGGGAAATTCTGCCTGAAAATTGCAAATTTGTGGTATTACAAATTCTCAAGATTCATAGTTTTATTTCATTCAGTATAATTATTATATTATCAAGTTAATTTATTTTACGATTTTTGAAGGATTCATTTCAGAAAATGTTTTTATGACTTAACCTGGCAGTGCATTTGGGAGGTCTGTGAAACCAAGTGCCAGTTAATATGTATCAGTTTTGCATTTTGTTGCTGGAGTGTCTATATCTTTCATAATGCCAATTGCGTAATAAAAATTTCTTAGGGATTGTAGTTGGAAGTAAAGATAGCGCTGTTGCCATAAACTCTGTCTGCGGCCCTCGGTTTTGGCCGCTTACTCAATGCTATGTTCAGATATATTTTTCCAATTGGATCATGTATCCATTTTGCCAGTCTGCACTGAATTTACCAACATGAGACTGCTTGCACAAGTCACATTTGACCTTACGTCTGGGTGCGAAACTTTGTGGCAATCTGCACATCAAATTTATCGGAACAAATGCTATCCTGGAAGATATAAGAGAAACTGAACACTGTTTTTAATACTTTTAGCTGCATGCACATATACATCAGAGAGGAGCTTGATAAGTAAAAATGTAGGACGAAGTTTTTACTGTCTCAAACATATTAGAAGATAGAAGATGTTATTTCTCAAAAATTTGGAAAATTATGCAATTGTAAATTTTTAATGAAAACAAATAAGAACATTTCTTGTTTAACTTAATTATTTTTTGTTTCTGAAAATATTTTTGTATTTTTCAATTTTTGTATATACTCTTGTATCTTTTGCTAATTTAATTTTTTGTATTAATAATATTTAAGAATACACAAAATAAGATTTGTTTAAACAACATGTACACACTTAATTATAATAGTTTTTAGGGTACATAATACTGGTTTGCAAAGTCTTTATATTATTTTATTTCATGTTCTTGCATGTTTTGGTGTTTTTACAGCATGTTTTAGAGTTTTATTTGCATGAAAATTAACGATAACACTTAAAATTTCCAGTAATCATCTTTTGTTAATATGCCTATTTAAATATGTTTCAATTTAACGAGATGACAATACTTATCTTTGTTGATATACTGTTTATATATCTTATTTGATTTTAATCATTCATTCTTTAGTGATGTCTTTGAAACAATTTTCAACTATTTCAAGAAACACCTATAATAAATTTCCTTGAAGCAAGGAATCCTTATTTATATTTTCTTTGACTAAACGGTCTGAATATTTCTAATATTCTAAATATTTTTAACAAAAGATCTATTAGCACAAAATCGATTGAGTTATTGTCATGAGTACTCTTAAAATATTTTGCACGCATTTCTTTTCCACTTGCTGCGTCACAACCATTTGATGAAATTCCAGTCTTATTTTGTCACCAGTGCCTTTCTGATTATAATTTTACTTTGTAGCCATTTATATTTTAAAAGTACTTGGTGAAATGTTCTCCATTAAATTATAAGCACTTTTAATTGTTCATATAAACAGTGATCAAAATCACGGGTTGATAATTGCCTCTGTTCTTGGTTGTGCAATATTGAAAATCAAGAATTCACGTAACAAAAACATTGAGAAATTGTTTATTTCTACTCATGTGAATTATTTTGCTTGTTAACAATATAATGTTCAGGGCTTATTCAAAATTAAACATATTAATTATTCGTCAATACTATCAATATACTCTTTGCCATCATTTGTTACTGCTATTTCCACCAATCAAATTACATGAATTGATCTTTTTACATCATGGACTTTTAATCTGCACATCATAGCTTTATGTATTTGAACCATTACAATATCTACTTCTATAATGGCTTGTTGCTATTACCGATATTAAAATAAAATAAAAATAGAAATAAATAAAAATAAAAATAAAATAGATTTAAGTTGTTTAAATATTGTTCAACATTATGTTGGGTTTAAATTGTCAAAGTGAACAATTTTGCTAGTAAATCATTCCATTCTTCAACAGCTTAGTGTTTGTATGGATTTTTATGAAAACAAACTTTCTTTAATGGGTTTAGGTGGCATCAAAAGATGTTTTGCATGCATTGAGATGTTTTGAGATAATGATGATTGTGTTGGATTGTGTGGTAATGTGATTATGTTGGATAGTTTTAGGCTTTTGTACAACTCTAACAACTCTAAATTTTTCAGTGAAATCGTATTTTCAATATTTCAAGACTTTCTTTATATGGGAGGGGTCTCAGTGAATTCAAATGTGTATATCTTGAATTGAAAATGTAAAGCAATAAAATCGGATAGAATTAAAGCAAGTTTCAAATTTTTAAACGACGAATCCAATTATGTTCTTGTTAATCTACTCCATTTCTCCCCTTGTAGGTGGGGTGGGGAGAAGCTTATTTTACTGTGGGTTTGCATTTTGAAAGCTCTCTTTTTATTTTCATGGGATGTTCATTTGTCCAGCAAAAAGTTCAAATGTGCTAAAGCTAAAAAAATTTGAAGAGTGGTTATAATTACAATATTTTTTTTCTTTCCCCTGACAGAATGCTGGGCCTGAAATCTCATGGATTGATAGTCAAAGGCCCATATTTAATGTGGGCTTTCAACTGTTGTCCACGGTGGTGACCACGGACCTCCATCTGCATAACCTCTTTGTTCATGCGGAGCGCTTGCTGGGACCAAAACATGCAGCCAATGCTCCTTCTGAAACAGAGACTTCCAAAGTGCTCAAGGTATTTTTCTTACTTCTTGCATCTACATAAACTGTTTCTTCACACAAAGCATGTACACGGACTAAAACATGCTGCCGATCCCATTCTGAAACAGACTTCCAAAGTGCTTATGATTTACATTGACTTTCTTACTTCTTTAATTTATCAGTGGGTCACACTTGAGCCTCTTTTTCCTTATTCTGTTACAGGCTAATTTACCCCTTAATGTAGTCCTTTCTCCCACCTTAATGCAGGTCTACCCACATGCTGTGTTTCTTCTGGTTGCCAATCATGTGCTTATTTCTCCATTTCTCCATATTTATTGTAACTCTCAAACACCTCTGTGAACTGGTGTGAAGTATTTCCAAAAATATTTTTTTATTAAGTGTAATTTTCAATTAATGAGTATCATTTCCAAAATTGTTGATTTAAAAATTTACAAGAACTGGATTTTATATTTTCATAATAGAATTCCTGAAAAAAATTCATTTGATGTTTGATTATAATTATAAACTAATTTTGCTCAAATTAATCATGTATACATTGCAAGAAATTGACTCTCTATTACTATATAACATTTTTCATAGCAATTTGAATTCCCTAAAATTAGTTGATTCTATCAATTTTCATGTTTGGAATAGAACATCAAAATCTTCCAAATTGTTTGCTATGCCCTTTTCTTGCACCAGTTTATTTTACAACTGTACTATTAATAGATCGAGTAATTATGTTTCTAAATTTACTGACCTTTTCAGTGACTATGAATGTTTAAGGGCAACAAAAGTATCAATTACCATATGGTATTTTAAACAACCCTTCAATTTCTGTATTTACCCAAATATAAGTCAACCCTGAATATAAGACAATCTTCTAATTTTGAATATGCCTGCTGAGAATTTTTAAACATTTTTAACTATTCTTACTATTACAAAATAAAATGTACTTACAAAATAAAATTACAAATTGTCTTAATGACTAGAAAATTGTCCTGTTAATGAAAATGTTAAGACATTCCTGAATTATCATTTTCTTATTCTTTAAAATCATAAACATGGTTTTTGTCACTACCCTCATCTTCACATGATTCTTTCTTTTTGATCACCCTTCGATTCTGTGACATCCTCTGACTTTTTAAGCCCCTCTGAAAGTTTTGCGGACTAATTTTGCGTTATTCATAGTCTTACATCAGATGCCACGCACGTTCCTTTCTGTGTCGTCAGATTTTCCTTCCAGCACTTGTTGATGGCCTCTTTTTAACTATTCAAAACGCAGATTCGCATTTGCCGAGCGTCAAACTGAGATTCCATGTGGCCTTGTTGAACTGACATTGTATAACAAAATCTTAGCATCCTTTTTCACATTACGTTTCATTTATTACAATGCCATTCGTGTTGAGATTCTCTCTTCATTGGTTCATATAAAAATATCAGTCTGAATTGCCCAGTAAATTCACAGTGGATCACGAGAATATGAATACGAATATAATAACGTATTGTTGATATGCATGATATTCTTACTGTCTTTGCAGTTTATTATTATATCAACATTCACGAGTTTCGTGATTTGGAATGGCGATGTAGAAACTTAAACTCGACTATGTATAATTTGTGAATATAATATGACCCTTAATTTTTTAACTGAGATATTTCAGAAAAAAAAACCTTGTCTTATCTTCATGTAAATACAATATATATTGTAATAATTTAAGTTTATAATGTACAGTAACCTGTTGACCAGGCATTTTTATTCTAACTATAAAAGGATTGATTAATTGAAATTACTCCAGACGTTCAAGTTATACTGAAGCACATAGGCACATCCATTTCATGTTTTGAGATTAAAAGCTGACTGTTTAATTTTTGGTAATATATTTTAAGAAGTAAGGATGTGATAACTCTTATGCATCCTTAAAACTTTTGACAAACACAGGGAAAAGGAAAAGTGAAACAAATATTTGTGGCTAATTTTGATTAATGTTTGCAAATTTCACCATATTATTAGAAGTCTAATGTCTGTGGATGTTTCAGGCTGCACATGCTGTTCAACTGTCCAGTGCCATCACTTTCTTTCCTACTCTCTTAAATCAGCTTTTGGCACTTCTTGTATTAACATCAAGTGAGGATGTTGGTCAGAATGTTCTAAGAGTACTCATTCACATTATTCATTTGTTACATGAAGCAGGGCGCAAAGACATCTTGCAGGCATTTGTAAAGGTAAGGTTTAGTGGAAAAACATTACACTGAGTTACATGTACGAAAAATATCATCACACTACTATGAAACTTATCTTGTTTCATATTGGTTCATTTATTTTATTTTTAAACTACATTGACAAAAATATCTAAATTCCAAATCAAAAATATGCATTACATTGTTTTAGTGATCATTAGATTTATACAATGTTGAGAAAGTATTTTGATAGTCATTATCGCTTACAATATGAATCATTCGTATTGCAATTTTTTTGTTTTGTTTATCATTAAATTAAGTAATCCTGTATTATATCATAATTTGATAAGAATGAATGCAGAATTAATATTCATTAATTTTCATGAAAACATGCTCAGAATATTTGTATCTAATCATAATCTTGGAAAAGCTTTTATAGCCCATCTGAAAGAGTGGAATTATTTCATTTTTTCTCTTCTTGTGAATGTTGCTGTAATCAATGTTTCTTAAAAAGTTGTATGATTTTAAAAAGAGTATCAGAACACATTTAACAGAATGTGATGTTTGATGAGTAATTTTTTTTGTGCAGTTTGTACTGGTGCCTCCAGATGTATCAAACTCGTCCACTATTCATGAAGAAATGTGCCGCCACTTACCAACATTGCTTAAGCCTGCTAATACTGATTTCCTAGTAGTGCATAAATTCATGCAACATGCAGGATTCTTTTTTGACACCATGTTGAAAAGCATGGCACAGTTCCTGCTGAGCACAGGACGGATTAAGGTAAAGATTAAGGTTGAATGATTTGAAGATTTGGGGTTGCTACTTCCACACTTCCAAAAGGCATTTTGCAATAAACTCACTCTCAACATTTTAAGAGATAATGAAGTTTTGGAGAAAGATAATTATATGAATTAATCTTCATTTCATGCATGCAAAATAAAGATCTTAGAATTTCTCCAAACATTATTTTATGATCGAAACATTGTTTACTCACATTTCACACAATAGCCAGACTGTGGACAAAGCTGTAAGAATGACAATAAACAAATCTTTTCAAACATTATCTAGCTAATGGTGGCTTGAGCCATAGGGTGCTGGCTAAAGTAGGGTGACTGTTTAAGAGTAAAGTTTTGTGTGTTTGTAAGAAGTATTTTGGAATTACTAGCATTGAAAATTAAGCATTTCACAGGCAGAAAGTTGTTTAATGTAAATCACTGAAGTTGAAGGCTACAGCCTTGTTTTCAACTTGGAAATGTGTGACAAAATTTCAACTGAGGTATACAGGGAGGTTAGTTTAGGTATGGGTGCTATCTTGTAAGGAGAAATACATTGCACCAGGAAAGTCTCTCTGCACCAAGCCAAGTTGGGCTACTGCTGCTGCTGTCGCTGCCGCCGCCGCTTCTACCCTCATCTTCCCAGATATTATCTGTATCCCCTCATCCCAGATATTATATGTAACACACACCAAATGAAATTTGTTTATATTTAAAATAGTTTTACTTCTAGATGACAAAAATCGTAAAAATGTGAATGAGCTTTGTTTTGTTCTAATCTTTCAGTTATACGTAAAAATTTCTATGTAAAAACAAGTATTTATAGTTCTTGTGAGCATTGTGTTTGGTAAGTAAGTGGGATTAGTTGAGGACACCTTTCAAATTATGTTGGGAATTGTGTTCATAATATTATTAGATGAATGCCAATAAAAAAAGGTAAAGTACACTTGCATGAAGAACAGCAATTATTTATTGTATATATTCATAGTATAACCTGTGTGAAATGAAGAGAAGCAATCCTTCCATGACTTTTCATTTTACTTAGTTTGATCATAGCAAAGAATTGTTCTGTAAATTAGTTTTTCACTGCTAATATAAAGGTACTGAAATATCATCAGAATTCTTGTGATGTATATAAGCTATAACATTATTCTTAATTTTCATTTTTCATTACATATATTTATTATTGCAGATGCATCGGAATGAAAGATTTTCAGCAGATTTCCTGCAGAGTGTCAGGAACTTATTGGATGTGCTCTATCTTTACCTTTCACAAAAATATAAGGAATCCCCTGTGGAAACTCAAGAACTGAATCGAAGTCTTGCCCACTTTCTTAAGGTGAGGAGAGGATGCAGAATATTGATGGTTTATAATTGAAATTTTGTGTGTATCTGTAATTCTGTCAGTTTTTTAAAAAGTGTTCCACTTCTGAATTTCATGAACATCTGTAGTATAATCCATTTTTTTTTTCATGGGTTTTGGCCAAAATTAAGACAGTTTGCTGGCATTTACATCATTGGTCACTTCATTTACCGATGTTTTCATCATTGGTTACTTCATTCACTTCATTCACATTTACATCATTGGTCACTTCATAATTTATATAACATGAAACTTATTATATTAGAACTCATATGTAAGAAAACATTTTAATGTACTTACAAAAGACAAACTGACTAAGAACAGAAACCATAATTTATTATTTAATATATACATTGGTAAGCATACATATAAGCATACCCACCGATATATATGTTACTAATGTTACTTGATTTTCTAAACATTTTTTTTCTTAGATAAAATTAGTTTGTAACTCCAGTATAAAATGATGTAACCTGTGATCCTGAACTATCTAATGAGTTAACATTGGCTCAAAACAAAATCATGAGGACGTTGGTAATAGTGAAATTTTGTTGTTATGATATAAGTGAGCTCTTAAGAACCCTTTTCAGTATATCCACTGTAGGATCTAAATTTCTTCAGCATGAATTTATACACTTGAAAGCGTAATATTTATTAAGCTTTCAAAAATAAATATGTACAGTAATTGCAGGAATGTTTCCATTGTTCGTCAGACATACAAGATCATTAGCCAACCTCTTCTTTGTGTTTGAGCAGTCAGGGCCGAAAGGTATAAAAGGCTGTAAATTTGAATTTCATAAGTGTGAAGTGGGGTTTTTTACATTATGAACATGTAGAAATTGAAAGGACTGGTAAGGATTGTTGGAAATGGCAGTGAAATGTAAATTATGGGAATGCATGTAGGGTTTCCCTTTATATATCCCATAAGTAAATTGGTTACTATGGTATTCCACTAGTAGTTTTTTAGAGAATCTATTTGGCAATGTAGAATTTGTTTATCAGATTGAGTATTTTTTTTTTGAGTTTATTGAAGAATTACTACTAATTTATCACCAATATGAATTTTTGTTGGACCAAGATAACAAATCATATTCTTTACTCAGTACTTCTTTACTTCATACAGTTACTCAGTTGTAGTATCATATTCAAAATTGTATTCATATGTGTATTCAAATATCATCCATATGTATCATACTCTTTTAACTTAGTACATCCAAGTGTGAAAATATTGCATAAAATTTTATTATAACTTTAAGTAACCGAAATTCCTTTATTTTTTTTATATATATAGCGGTGCCTGACTTTGATGGATCGTGGATTTGTCTTCAAGTTGATTAATGGCTATATGGAGTCTTTCAATCCTGGTGATTCTCACACGTTGTCTGACTACAAATTCGTGTTCCTGCAAATCATTTGCTCTCATGAACATTTTGTTATGCTGAATCTGCCTCTGAATGCGAGGATGGCTCTGAAGGGCAACAGTGGTGAGTCCATAATGATTAATGTAAAGACTATACCCATTAATATACAAGCTGCACTTCCTTGCGTCTACGTAAAAAAACATTATTTATCCACCCAGAAATATTTCTTCAGTGATAAAGGGAATTTGAGAATGCTTTAAATTACTGAGATGGCACATTAATTGTAACTTGCAAATCCAAAATAAATACATTTCTACCAGAATGCTCCCAGCTAGGGAATTTTTGTGATTATTAGAGACCAATATCATGCTGGTCATGGTAAACTTGAGACTTTCTAGAGTCTCGCATAATAGGTCCCTTAGTTCCAATCTCATTATTTAGAGAAGATAATATGTAATTTGCAATAGATATCATGCACATTCTTTATAAAAAAAAAATATTTTCCTGACATCGTAATATAAAAGAAATGTTTGAGTTTTCAATCTCAAATTTTATTGGGAACTCCCCAGGACACGGTGATAATTTGTAAAGAACAGGGACAGATGTAGGTACTGCAGAGTTCCCAAGCCCAAAATCAAATTGTTCACCCCTCTTTGGAAAAAATTCTTTCAGATAAAAAAAAGAAGAAGAAGAACTTTTTGGATAAATACAAATGAAAATTAACAATATCCTTATAGAATTGAACAGATGTTTTATTTTTTATTAGAATGTATTTTTAATTTGTCTACAAATACAAATACATGTTAAGTTTCTTAACCGTTCAATCAGATATTTTTTAAATTCAAACTTTTTAGTATAATGGACTATTTGATATACAATTATTTAACAGATGCAAAAATATTTTATGTAATTTTTTTCCAAATATTTTACAAAAGATATTTCTGGAGCACACCCCATCCCCCATCCCCTCTAGGATGGTTGGGGGCTCCTAAGCAATTATTTGTTTTTTTAGGTAAATCCATCCCCAGTAAAGAAGTATCAGTTTTGACGTAGAGATAATTATTATATACATCAATATACTTTCTGTGCAATAGTAATGAGCTGATATGAAAGAGAAATATGGTTTCGTTGATTTCAACTGTTAGTTTTCAAGCTCTGATTAAAGTCCAATTTTTTTTTTTTAAATACTTATTTAAATCATTTGTTACAAATCAATGAAATGAATATTAATTTTGTTCGGTTTATTTTATAGTGTTGCCACAACAACATATACTTTCTCTCATTATTTATAACTATTCTTATTATTTACAGCACTTCATATAGACTAGAGAATATTTCTAATATAAATTGAACACCCAGAACTAAAGGCTGTTCAATACATCACGTTATAAATGCATTTGAAACTACGATATCATTACCATTACATTATGCATATCTGAGTATACACGTTCTTTCTGACTTTAATAAAGTTGAATATTCCATTTTATTGATTGTAGATACATTTTAATATTAATGTTAAGTAAATAAAGCTACCTTGTCTTATCTCTCTTCTTCTCCTTCTCCTTTTTTTTCTTCTTCTTCTTCTTCTTCTTGCTGCCTCCTTCTTCTCCTCTTTCTCCTTCTTTTCTTCTTCTCCTCCTCTTCTCCTTCTCTCTCCTCCTCCTCCTCCTCCTCCTCTACTTCTTCTCTCTTTACTTCTTCTTCTTCTTCTTCTTCTCCTTCTCTTCCTCCTTCTCCTCTCTCCTTCTCCTTCCTCCTTCCTTCTCCTTCTCCTTCTCCTTCTCTTCTCTCCTCCTTTCCTTTCCTTCTTCTCCTTCCTTTCTCCTTCTCCTTCTCCTTCTCTCTTCTTCTATCCCTTCTCTCTCTCCTTCTGCCTCCCTTCCCTTTCTCCTTTCTTCTTCTCCTTCTCTTCTCCTTCTCCTTCTCTTCTCCTTCTTCCTTCTTCCGTTCTCTTCTTCCTTCTCTCTCCTTCTCCTTCTCCTTCTCCTTCTCCTTCTCCTTCTCTTCTCCTTCTCCTTCTCCTCTCCTTCTCCTCTCCTTCTCCTCTCCTTCTCCTCTCCTTCTCGCTTCTCCTCTCCTTCTCCTTCTCTTCCTTCTCCTCTCCTCCTTCTCCTTCTCCTTTCTCCTTCTCCTTCTCCTTCTCCTTCTCGCTTCTCCTTCTCCTTCTCCTTCTCCTTCTCCTTCTCTCTTCCTTCCTATCTCCCTTCTCACTTCTCCTTCTCCTTCTCCTTCTCCTTCTCTTCTCCTCCCTTCTCCTTCTCCTTCTCCTTCTCCTTCGCCTTCTCCTTCTCCTTCTCGCTTCTCCTTCTCCTTCTCTTCTCCTTCTCCTTTTCTCCTTCTCTTCTTTCCTGCTTCTCTTCTCCTTCCCTTCTCTTCCTTCCTTCTCCTTCTCCCTTCTCCTTCTCCTTCTCCTTCTCCCTTCTCCTTCTCCTTCTCTTCTCCTTCTCCTTCTCCTTCTCCTTCTTCCTTCTCCTTCTCCTTCTCTTCTCCTTTCTCCTTCTCCTCTCTCCTTCTTCCTTCTCCTTCTCCTTCTCCTTCTCCTTTCTCCTTCTCCCTTCTCCTTCTCCTTCTCCTTCTCTTCCTCCTTCTCCTTCTCCTTCTCCTTCTCCTTCTCTTCTCCTCTCCTTCTCCTTCTCCTCTCCTTCTCCTTCTTCCTTCTCCTTCTCCTTCTCCTTCTCCTTCTCCTTCTCCTTTCCTTCTCCTCTCCTTTCCTTCTCCTTCTTCTCCTCCTTCTTCTTCTCCTTCTTCTTCTTATTCCAGGAACTTTATTGTTTTGTCAGTTGCCTTCTTGTTGGTGCCGAGATCTATCTTCATATTGCCTGTCATGCCGCATCTGTATGTAAGTCATGAAAGATCTACGCAGTCTGTCAGAATATGTTTCACTGTCAGAAGTCTTCTGCAGCTGCAGACGGGCTGTTCTTTGTTTCTTAGCATGTGTGAAGAAGTTTTTCTTGCATGACCTATTCTTAGTCTGGTTATGCTCACTTGTTCTCGTCGAGGGTTGCTGGCATTTGGTGATCATTTACTGATATTCTGTTTAATGGGGTGTAGTTTCGTGTGAAGACTGTTCTACGTCTGCCATTCTGTGAGGATGCACCGGTCTGCCATTCTGTGAGGATGCACTTCGAGGCAGCATTTCTTGCATCTTGAGGTCGTATTTCATTATCCATTGCTGATTGGATGTTCTCGGCATTTCGTGCTGCAGATTAGGCTTCTTCATTGCCTGGGATTCCCACGTGTCCAAAGCACCAGATTAACAAAATTGATGCTCCTCGCTGTTCTAATTTATGGCATGATATGAGAATAATTAGTAGCAGTGGGTCTGCAGTTTGGTGTCTGTCTATTGCAGTGGGAAGACTTAGCGAGTCTGTGCAGATGATGAATTTTCTTGAATTGAGAGTTTCACAGCGTCGCAAAGATTGTAATACTGCATACAATTCGGCAGTGTGCATACTTGCTGCTGGCGGAAGTGTCCAAGTTTTCGATAAGTCTTCAGTTACAAATGCACTTCCAACCCGATGTTTTGTTTTTGAACCATCTGTGTAGATTATTGTGTGATTTGCCATGTATTTTTCGAGAACTGATCAAAATCTGACTTTTAAATCAATGGAAAGGCACTGTTTTTTCTTTACACTGGTAGTGTTGAGTCTTACTTCTGGCATTTTCAACATCCAAACTGGAATTTCGTATGGTTCGTCTTTCAAAACTAGTGATAGGACGATGTTATAGCCTTTGGCTATCTCGATTGCGCGGATGTTGGCTGGACGAGTAGCTGAAGGTCTTTGATCGTAAATCTTTGCTAGCTTAGGTCAAGTTATCAATGAGTGGTTTAAATGTTTCGGTAGTGACAGCAATTTTGATCTATAGTTGAGTAGCATTGTTTGTTGTCTGTGATGTAGCGACATGGTACTGGTTTCATAGTAGAGGCTTGAGGAAGGACTAGTGCGGAACACGCCAGATGCATATCGGAGCCCTGCATTGTGAACGGGATCTAGTTTCCTTAAACTTGATTTTCTGGCTGAGGAGTACACTGCACATCCATAATCTATTTTGGACATCACCATGGATTTTTACAGGCGGAGTAAGATATTATATTCTATATGAGGTTTCCATGTTAAATGGCTATCAAAAATCAAACCAAGGAATTTTGCCGTTTCATTGAGTGTCAGTTGAATACCATTCAGCCCCAGCTCTGGATCTCAGTAACTTTATCGTTTCCTCCAGAAGTGAACGCATTTGGTTTTGGCTGCTGTAAATGAGAAACCAATGTTTTTCGCGTTCTGTACTAATTTATTGATGGCATTTTGCATTTTAAATTTGACCATTCCCGGTTACTTGGCTGAGTAAAATATAGCAATGTCATCTACATACATGCATTTTCCAATTGACGCTTCTATGCCGTCAAACATCTCTCTACGATAAAGAGCGTACCACTCAATGAAGAACCTTGCGGTACACCATTCTCTAGTTCATAGCTTTCTGAGATAGACTGCCCAACGTGAACTTGGAAAGATCTGGTATTAAGGAAGCTGTATAAATCTTGGTGGATTTCCTCTTATTTGCCAGTTATATAGCTGTCTCAGAATATTATATTGCCAGGTCTTATCAGAAGCTTTTTTCAGGTCAAAGAATACGGTAACCATAAGTTTTCTTTTGATGAAGGTATTCTGAATTGTGTTTTCCAGATATATTAGCTGGTCGATTGTAGAGTGATGTCTGTATCTGCACTGATGTAAATTCAGGAGGTTGTTTCTTTCGAGACACCATCTTAGCTGAGTGTTGACCATTTTTTCCAAAGTTTTTTTTCCTAGACAGCGTGTTAGGGAAACCGGTTTTCAGGTTTCAATGGCTCCTTGTCTGCCTTCAAAAGCAGAATTATTATCGCTTCTTTCCAGACTTTGGGGTAATTACTTTGAATCCAAATGTTATTGTATGTTTAGCAAAGTGGACAGTATTTCCTTCGGTAACCGACATAGTATGCTATAAGGGATCTGTCTGATCCTACTGCGGTGTCTCCAGCTGCATTTATGGCTTCTTGCAATTCTCTCCATGTGAAAAGAATGTTAAATAGCTTATCTGTATCGGTTGTAAAGTCAAGTACTTGTTCTTCTTATTTCTTTTCC